AGAAAAGAAAGAGTAGTGGGCGTAAGTTAAGGCTGGCCCCAGGATCTCTTTGAAGCATAAATCGAGAGTTATTCGCATATTGCAAAAAAAAAAAAAAGGAACTATCCATCCCATAGGTGACCAAAGGGGGAAGTATGTACTCGACTAGGATGAGTATCGTAAGCTCTTTATCTGCATATTGTATCAAATATTTGATTCGATATAAATTTACGTTATACTGATTTGGATCTCAGAATATCGATTCAGTATAAATCAGGATAGTTTGAGATGATTCGATATTAATTTCGATACAAATCGAGATAAATATATACGTACATAATTTAAACTTTAAAATGTAACAAAATCGTTAGCTTTGTTTTTGAAGAATTGAAAGTATATTTAAATAAAGATACATAGAAATATGCGAATATGAATAATAAAATGCAAGAATTGCTTATCAAATTTTTTTAATTTTCACAAACTATAAAAAGAACTAATGATGGCAAAATCTTATTTCAAATTTTTGTTAATTTTTTAAAACTCATCTACAAAAAAACAAAAACTTGAATAAAAGTACTCGGTATATTTTACGCATAATAGAACTTGAAACATATTTTTAAAATAAACTTATTACTTACTGAAAAGTATAAAAAGACTAGTACAAAGTATATTTTAAACACTTTTAGCATATATGCTAAAAGTGTACGAGTAGCTTCCCATACCGAAAATTTTGAAATGAACATATATGCTAAAAGTGTTTAAAATATACTTTGTAAAATAAACTTTTAGCATATGTGTTCATTTCAAAATTTTCGGTATGGGAAGCTACTCGTAGCATTCTCAATTGTTGAATATTACAGTGGGAAAAGAATAAAACAAAATAATCCAAACTTATAATCTTTTGGGATTTTTCAATAGAAGAAATAGAATAAAAATAAATTGGATGGCGAAGATGTGGAAGATGAACAGATACTTGAGCCTCTGGGCGCCAGTCAGATAAGGGTGAACGGAGAACTTGCGAAATGTTTACGAAAAAGGAGTCACCAGAGCTTTTCCTAATGTAGTATTGCCCGCCTCCCACACTGGCAATGCGGATGACCTCCTCCCAAGATTAAATCGCTAATGTGCATGGTCTAGAGCGGTAGAACGATGCACAAACAAACTAGAACGAAGGAAAGTTATTCACCGAAAAATTGATCGAATATTAAGAGAGTTGGAACGCAGAGATCGAAAGTGTTCGAGTGTTTATTTCTCTACAGCGAAGCCTCCTTATATAGGAAAGAAGTCGGCTCTTCGGTTGGATAAGGCGGACATCCTGAAGAGTCACAAGAGACTCTTCATCATCATGTGTTCGATTCGGTCTCGTAAAAGGATAAGAATTAGCTCACGCTCTCACCAATAAATATGATTTGGGTCTGTAAGAATAAGAACAAAATAGGTGCTAATTCTTGTGTGAAGGTTGCTGCTTCTGACCAATGTTTTATCGACAATACATGCTTGCATCAAGGATGAAAGAAAGAAGGTTATTGTGCTGATAAGAGAGCTGAATTATCACATAAAAGTGATGAAATAACACCTCTTGGAGATGAAAAGGTGAAGCTTATGACTATGAAGAATCGAGCATTATACATGTGTAAAAGAGCATTTGATGGAAATCGTTTTGGTATACTCAGATCTCGTTTGGATTTGTGCACACCCATCTCTACCTAATTAAGAGGATGCTCTAAGATGTGTTCCATCTCCATCATGGAAAACCTTTAGAGCATAAATATTATGTTGGTTGTATGTATGTCTTTAGGATACTTTTTCAAATGCATCATCCGAGGGGGAGCTGTTCGAGCCTGGAATGGCTGACGTATGTTTGTTTATTTATTTAGATATTCATTATTGTAATGTTCAAGCCTCGCTTAAATATTACTCTTCTCAGTTTACCCCAATTTTTATTTATGAAATCTTTGGTATTTTTATGCAAAAAGGGGGAGAATAAATTCAAAATAGCTAAGTTAAGATACGCTTTTGTAAAAAAAAGTACGAAAGGGGAGATTGTTGGTTCTAGATTAAGTTGGTATTATTTTTTTGACAAACAAATATATTTATCTAAAGTTATTTGTAATTTTTTTTATTTAGGGTTAGAGACCAAGTGTGTGTAGAAGAAGAAGAAAACAAATCGATAGAGCTTGAAGGAAAAATCTTAATCTTACTTTATCTATGGTTGACCATGAACCTTTAATTCTTATGGGTCAGGGTTTAAATTATAAGTTTACCTATATAAGCCATAAGTCTCACAAAAAGAAGTGAGAGGAAGAGGTGCGGAAAAAATGATATAAGCATAATAAGAACCAGCAGAACTTCAAAAAAAAAAAAGACTTGAAATCTACGTAGCACTGCCAAGCCAAAGAGAAACTAATTGTTTTTATCTCATCCATGGAGCATTGATCACTAATTGTTGCCTTTGACCAAGAAAATGAACATCTAGAGAATATTTTTGCTTTTTACAAATTGGTGGTTAAAAGAAAGGGAAGCACTACGCAGTAAAAGCTGCACAAAGGAAGAGCAATTAGAGGCTGAATATTTGTTGTTAAAAGGAGGGCTGTTACAGAGACACGTGAATCCCGCAGACGCAGAAGAGTTGATCCGAAAGGTGTAAACAGTTCTTGTTCGTTTTTTACTGCTTTGACTTTATATTCTACGCATGTGCATGTGACGGAGAATGTGTTATAGTACTCTGTCTATTATTGTAACAGTGCTACAACATCCTTTCCAGCAGTCTGTTTGATTAACCTCTTTACATATCTTTTTGTTGGAGATTTTCGCTGCCCCCAACGAACTTACATTTACATCATCAATGTTTACATATCTTTTTGTTGGAGATTTTCACTGCCCCCAACGAACTTACATTTACATCATCAATGTTTAAGGTCTATTTTCAAAAAATAAAATTTTGTAAGAATAACCTAAAGGAAAAAAAGTTATTGGGGGTTAAAAAACAAAAGTGATGCATAGATTTTCCCAATAGCCCTCTTTCTTTGTGATCTTTTCATTTCATTTTTTAACAATTAAAATACCACAACTATCCCCACTTACTTTATTTATTACATTTTACACACCTCATTTAATAACTCCAACCATTTTCATTAAGGGTATTATGGTAAACTTTCATTTTTTTTCAACTCTCCTTAAAAACCACCAAAAGTCAAAATGAAAACATACTGAGAATTTTTACTAGCACAAAATGACTCAATTGCCATCTTCAATCCTCGATACCCTAAAAATTAAACAGAGATCGTCTCTAATTGCAGCAGAGAATTTTCCAATCGTCTCCGGCGAAGTTCGAATCCAAGTCTGATTGCCGGCCCGTCCGGGGAGTTAAACTTGTGGCGGTCTCAGTTCAAATCTTCATCGCCGGATTCTGAATACCAACGTCTGTAGAGATGGTGTTGGCGCAGTTAGGGGGGAGCATTTCGCGTGCTCTCCAGCAGATGAGCAATGCGACGATAATCGACGAGAAGGTTCTCAACAATTGCCTCAATGAGATCACCCGCGCTCTTCTCCAATCAGATGTTCGATTCGAGCTTGTCCGCGATATGCAGACTAACATCAAGCGGCTCGTCAACCTTGACGACCTTGCTGCCGGACATAACAAGCGTAAGATCATCCAAGAGGTTCGTCAATTGTTCCTTCACCTTCTAGCAGACTCAAATTTCTGTTTCTTTCCTGCCCGATTGCATGTGTTATGACTTAAATAACGTTTCCCTTTAATATTGGGGTTGCGATTGTATTGATGTGAGAAGTTGAGGACTTAGAGAGTTAGGGTAGTGAATCTTTCATGCTATGTTTTTGGGTTCTTTGGATATTCTCCCCCTAATGGAATACTTGATATCGCACGGATTCCATCAGCATATTTTGTCTTGCCTACTTTGACTGGGTGGGAGATCAATAGAGTGAAAACTGCCCGGTTAAGATTTCTTGTAATTTTTAGAGGAACAATACGAACCGCATTATTCTTCTTATAACTAGAATGATGCTTGATATATTGCCACAACCTAAAAAAAGAAGAAAACACATTATATTTGTACAGAGTATTATGTAATTTCTAAAGTTTGGTTAACTGATTGATTCATTAGTGGCTTATTCTTTTTTTTTGTGATTTATCATTGGTTCGTTTGGTTTGAATGTGTTTTGTGAGTGTATTTTAAACAACAACATTACTCCAGTGCCTCAAAGCTCCCGCCCATTGCGGGGTAGGGGGTCGGATGTACACAGCCAGACCCCTATGCTTAAAACATAGAGCGGTTGTTTCCAAATGACCCATGATGAACACTAGTTGCTACTTCACTATTGAAAGAAACACAAAAAATTTCAAGAGTCTCTTTACTTCATTCCATCATACCTCAATGCAAAAAAACTAGTGAATCTTTGGCTCCATCGGAGTTGATGCAAAGAGTGAACGTTTTTTTAAACATTTTAAGAAAAGTCATGTTTCGCAACAATGCTTGAGTTATGATCTAAAGGAGACCAGAGAATGTAACAAAGAATAAGAATGACGAAAGCATGTGGAGATCGATAAATCCATTTTTTAAACAAAAAATTCCATGTTTTAGTTTTTATTTGTTGTTTCAAATGCAAACATGTACACATCTAAGTACATAACCACTTCCTCCACCATGAAATGAGGTTTACAATTTGACTTCATGGTGTTTTAGGCAAGATAGTTATTTGTTTATATTTTCCCATATTACTCCTAAGGGGTGTGTAACAAAAATAGGTTGGGCAAGAAAAGGTGGATGAGTTTAAAGAAAGTGCTAGAAAAGTATTGTACACCTCTTCAACTTTTTTTCCCGAAAACCGAAGAGGAAACTTAGAGGGTCTTTCTCTGTGCTGATGCTTATTGGCTCATTGATGATAATCAATTTTTAACTTATAGACTGCTTACAAGACAAATATTTTTTCATGAAAGTAAAATGACATAAATGATAGATAAGTCATTTGGGAATATTCATGAATGGTGAGAGATAGTTTTGTAAATATTCTAATCAAAATAGAGAAACAAAAAAACTGGCTTAAAGATAAGTAGGTAAGACCTACTTATTTTGTCTCGCTTCTAAGAGTCAACTTATAAGCATAGAGAAACTTGTAATGAGCTAATTTATAAGTTAAAACAACTTATAAGTAGTTTTGACTAGCTTATAAGAAATTAAGAACAGAGAAACACCACTTAATTTTTGGGAGATCAAAAAAGAAAGTGAAACTTAATTATGGGACGGAGTACAAAATAATTGCGTGCTTTTACGCTGCAATCATATCTTGCAAGTCTGCATCCAGTTCATTGTCCTAATATCTATTTGGCTGGTTCTTGATGAAGGTTGCATATGCCTGTTCTTGTTTGATCTTCAGGAATTGTCATTGTTTCCTATCTTTTCTAGGCTGTACTTAAAGAGCTTTGCAAGATTTTGGATCCGGGAAAACCCTCATTCACTCCAAAGAAAGGGAAGACTAGTGTTGTGATGTTTGTAGGTTTGCAAGGTAAATCATCTCTGGTTTTTGCACTTTAATGCGCTAACTAGTAACTACTTGCATGTGACTTGACTATAGAAATTATCTCAGCTCATCACCGTCTTATACTATTTTCCACGCATGATGAAAATTGAAAAGTCTAGGTTAATGACGGTTTTAGGCTATGTTCTTTTCGGTTGGAAAAATTAACTTCTAAGTTTTTTCAACTCCTTCCAGTTTTTTTATCGACTTAAAAAATGTATTTACATATGATGACTATACAATAATATTATATATCCAAATTTATAACATAACACCTCAAACACGGACAAAGATGAATTCTTTTTTATATCCAAAATTAGTTTTCTTACATATTTATTTGGCGATCATTTATTTTTTTTAACACTTTATTTTTTCTTAATCTTTCCAGTATTTTCCAACTCCTAGTTTCTTCCAACTTCTTCTAGTTTCTTCCAAAACCCAACATTAGAATTCCAACTGAAAAGAACACAGCCTTAGAATTTTCATCTTATTATTCATTCTTATGGAGGTTGCAACAGGAAAGGCTTCCCACATAAATCATTGTCAACATGTATTTTGCATGAATTTTTAGTTGGAACTATAAGTTTAATGCTGCCAACCTCAACTAGTTTGTATTAAGGTGCTGATAATTGTGATGATGAATGAGCTAATCTCTTTTGCAATACTAGTGATCTCTGCACTTTTCACTTTTATAAGGGTACTTGTGCCACTCATATTTATTTATGTTGAGTTTTCAACTGAATAGTCTAATATTATCTCCACTCCCTTCATATTTCTACTGTTCTGAATACTACTGGCACAGGTTCTGGGAAAACGACGACTTGTACAAAATATGCCTACTACCACCAGAGAAATGGCTGGAAACCAGCTCTAGTTTGTGCAGATACATTCAGAGCTGGTGCTTTTGATCAACTGAAGCAAAACGCAACAAAAGCTAAAATACCTTTCTACGGGAGGTAAATCTTTTTTTAAACAATCTGTTATTTACTTTTTCCCCCATAATCATGCGTTTTCTTTCTTAAAAACCCTTGACCCTCAGTCACCTCAGTGGAGCTGTTCTGTTGACCTGATTCTTCAATCATATTTATGACATATAACTTCATATCAATCTAGTTAAATCTAAGTTGTTCTTAATGCGAAAACACTTTGTGTGTGTTTAAAAGGGGAGGCTATCTCTAGGCTTATTTGTCTCAAAATAAAAATTGACAATCTTTTTTTGCTTATGATAACATTCTTTTACATGGGGTTTGTGTCAAATAAGTTAATTTCAGTTAACCGAGATTGCGTATTTCTCTGGCAACAATATGGTATATAAGCCGAGTTCATGTGCAAGCAAAAAGTTTTAATATAATGTGCACTGTTAAATGATGTTTCTGTCCCCAAGTTCCCATATGAAATGGGTACACAGATTGAGAGGGTTATATTGTGTGTGTAAGATTTATTTAGAAAAGTTACCTAAAAAATTGGAACGGAGGAAGTAGCAAATGTGCTTTTTAAAACTGTTGCAATTTGTGAAATTGTTATTTTTAATGAAAACCTAGTTAGTTGAACGTTGTCTTGGTCTGAATGGTTCATATTTTTTCTTACCGTCCTCTCTTGCATGATCTGTTAATATAAACATATGTAAAAATAATATCATTCTTTAAAGAGTGCCTAATTTTTGCTGTTGACTGCTTTTCTTAAAATCTGGATCGTGGATGTGGCTTCATACATGCTGATGTGTGAATGCTATCTAGGAAACATGAATTTCATCATCACTAGCATATGGCATATCTAATGTACATGTTATATTGGTATGCTTCTGCAACAGTTACACAGAGTCCGACCCTGTAAAAATAGCAGTGGAAGGTGTTGAAAGGTTCAAGAAGGAAAATTGTGATCTCATAATTGTTGACACCAGTGGGCGCCACAAGCAAGAAGCTTCCCTCTTTGAAGAGATGCGTCAAGTCTCTGAAGCAACAGTAAGTGCTAAGTATGCTTTTAGGATGCAAATGCTTTATGTGTACGTTTAGGGATAGTCTCATCAGTTCGCTTGATTTTGCAGAAACCAGATCTTGTGATATTTGTTATGGATAGCAGTATTGGTCAAGCTGCTTTTGGTCAGGCGCAAGCCTTCAAACAAAGTGTTGCTGTTGGTGCTGTAATAATTACTAAAATGGACGGGCATGCAAAGGGAGGTGGTGCTCTTAGCGCGTAAGATTCATATAGAGTAGAACTACTATATACTTGAATAGTATTCCATCTTTCCCAATATAAACTTCATATTGGGGAGTGCCACACTTGAAAAGAAAGTGAATTTATGTGGGCAAAATTTATTTTGAAAGGAAAGAAAAATGTCAACCTCAAAATTCTTTCTTAGGCAAGTGAAGTTTAGTGGAGAACATAGGAAATAGTATCATTTATTTTTTATTCATTATTTTTTTTATTCCATAACTATTAACATGGCATTGTGAAAATTAAAAATTTTCATATGCAGAGTTGCGGCAACAAAAAGTCCTGTCATTTTTATTGGTACCGGAGAGCACATGGATGAATTTGAAGTTTTTGATGTTCAGCCGTTTGTAAGCCGACTTTTGGGTGTGTATCTCATCACTAGTTTTAAAAATCAGGATCTTACCTAGGATTGGGACAGGGTGGCGGTAGAGATCATTCAACAAATCATGAATATTAATATCCTACATTTAAAAAGTTTGTTATGTGTGTGAGTGGATGTGGGACGGTTATTCATACAACTTTTTTATTCAACAACTATTACAATCTGTTAGATAATTTTATTTTCAAACTCAAAAGTAATTCATAGACCTCAAATTTTTATGAGAACCTGAGGCCGTTTTTTATGAAATGGTCCCTACTCCCTCCAACCTCCATACAAACCCTTTGCCCCTAGGTTCGCCGTTATGCTACAATACTTTCCGTAGCATAATAACGAATCCGGCAGGGGGGCTGGGGGTTTGTATCGGGTAAGCACTACTTAGGGGTCGAACGTAACATTGTAGAGCTCTCAAATAGACCGGTGTCATATTATGACAACAGCCCTTGATCACACACACCCACATCCATAGCAAGTTCTCAGTTTCTTTACTTTTGTCCTCACTTCACCAGATACTTTTGTGTCTGTTTTATGCTAGGGATGGGTGATTTGTCTGGATTTGTGGACAAAATTCAGAAGGCTGTTCCTATGGACCAACAACCTGAACTCCTTCAGAAGCTCTCTGAGGGACATTTTACCTTGAGGATTATGTATGAACAATTCCAAAATATAATGAAAATGGGTCCTATAGGCCAGGTTTGTTCTTGCTTCTGCTTGAAACTTGTGCTGCATATTATCTACATTCCACATTTACTTCATCATTATACTAAATCAACAAACAACACGAGCATTGATCCCTACCATGGTATTTTAATGGTTCAGGTGTTATCTATGCTCCCAGGATTTAGTCAAGAGTTAATGCCTAAAGGGCGTGAAAAGGAAAGCCAGGCAAAAGTCAAGCGTTTTATGACAATGATGGATTCAATGACCAATGAAGGCGAGTTTAGTTGATTCTTCTTTTTAATAAATAAAATTTTATGCCCTCTCGATTTCTAGTCTTGCCATACACAATACTCCATGTCCCAAAAAAAGAGTCCTCATTGCCTTTTGTTGACGTCCCAAAAGATGGTTTCTCTTTCCATTTTTGAATGGCTCATATTCTTTCTAACTTTACCACACTACTTTCTACCACGAAAGTAGGGTCTGGGGAGGGCGTGTATACGCAAAGTCGCAAACCTCGCCCCTACCCGAAAGTAGAGAGGCTGTTTCCAAGAGACCTCCGGCTCAAGTTGCATGTAAAGGATCACAATCGATACATAAAGTAGGGAAAATATAGATATCACACAAATAAAGCACCAAACACCCAGGATAAAAACTAAACTACATAAACTGAAGTTACGAAACGAGAGTATTCCAAGCAAATAACACCAAGCATAAAAGGCATACAAAGCACACAACAACACCCCCTAGCTCAAGGCACCTACAGAACACCAAGCATAAAAGGCATACAAAGCACACAACAACACCCCCTAGCTCAAGGCACCTATAGAGCTACCGTAATCCTTTTCTCCAAATGCTTCTATCTAAGGCTATATCCTCAGTAAGGGCAAGAAGTCCTAAGTCTTGTTTAATCACTTCCTTCCAACTCTTCCTAGGACTACCCTTGCCCCTACTTTTTTTTTTGGGGGGGGGGAAGGGAGTAAATAAATGCATGTTTATACATTACAGAATTGGACAGTACGAACCCAAAGATTATGACGGAATCACGAATAATGCGGATAGCAAGGGGGTCAGGGCGCATGCCGCACGAAGTGTTGGAAATGATGGAAGAGTACAAGAGACTGGCAAAGATATGGAGTAAGATGAAGGGACTTAAGATTCCAAAGAAGGGAGACATGAGTGCCTTGTCCCGAAACATGAACGCCCAGCACCTCAGCAAAGTTCTCCCACCAGAGATGATGAATCAGATCGGTGGCATGGGCGGCTTGCAAAACCTCATGAAACAAATGGGTTCTGCCAAGGATATGATGGGAGGTATGTTTGGTGGTAAGTAAAACGCACAATAATTAAATGTAATGTAATACTCCGTATCATAGTAGCCGATGAATCGTGTTTAGTTTTTTATTCCAGTCTGGACTATTAACCATATTGGAGTGGTGCACTCTGCTTTTCGCGATTATCTTGATTTTTTTGAGTATCATTTCATCAACTGCACCTACTACGCCCTTGTTTGGCAAGTGTGATATTTGCGTGGACCATGCTATATAGCCACACTAACTTTGACACCAAAGTTTGACATCATGTGTCACATGCAATTATTCTTTGTATACGTCTGTAATACGCATGGTGTCAAAAAACGGTGCCACTAGATTTTTTCGATTTGTTGTTTTGATGCAATTCGAGCCCGATTTGGTTTGTGAGTTTGAAATGTAGTGTTGGGCTAACTATTGTGGCGTGTTGCGAACAAGCCCAACAGACATAAAGGCTCTGTTCGTTTCAGTTCTAACTATTAATTTCTAACATTTTTTCAATTTTTCTAATTTTCTTCCACTCTTTCTAGTTTTTACAACTTCTTCTAACATCAACTCTGGTTTTACAATTGAAACGAATAGAGCCTAATAAGTTAATCATTGTTTTTAGAGGAATTGGTTAAGACTCACTTCAGAGTGTCCTAGCGGTTCCTCAAAACAAAAGAAAAAGAAGTTGCTTATGTTGATTTATTTATTTATTTTGTGTTAACCACGAGATTCTGGGTTTTGCTTTGTCCATCTTACGGTTTGAGAAATGAACCTAGGTTTTTCACCCCACATGGAAGAACTTGAATTTAAATCTTCCCTTCTTTATATGGAGTATCCAATGGCATACTCTAGGAATATAGATATATATTTTCAAGTAAAATGAGCTAAAATCTTGTGCGAGCGCATGTTCTAGCGTGCAAAGGTGCATATTTTAGACGAATCAAAACTTGGATTAAAAACAAAAATGCTAGTGGCACATTAAAATTGTACCCCCATATAATTTGTACTACAAAGATAACACAGAACTTCAAAATAAAATGTAAAAATTAAATTCAATTGGACTCAAGAATTTCTTCAGAATATACTTAAATAAAAAAGTGTGCAAATTACTTTTTAACTCCACTCCTTTTTGAGCTACTGTTTATCTGATCTATTAGCACAAATATCATAATTCTATATTAAATACGGATAAGTAAATAAGTAATTACTCCTATATCTTATATTTTTTTGAGGTGGGGTACGTCAAGTAGTATACATCCGGATGTATGATGTTCGTGTACATCTGCTTGAATATTCATTTTTGAACAACTGAATACTCATTTTCAACTAATCGAATACTGTACTCATTTTCGAGTAGCTTTCTGTCTCTTTAATGCAAAGGCGACGCTTGAATTCCTGAGACATCAAGCCAACCAAGCGGGCATTTCTCCTTACAAAATAGAATTAATATCGTGTGGGCAATATAGGTCACATATCGGATATTAAACTAATCGATAAGAACACATATTACACATGATCTTAGCCAAAAGGTCGAGAAAGGGTTTTTCAGTTAGAGAAGTCAGACAACAAATGTTTTTTCGCAGTTATATAATTTTATAGGTTGTTTTTCAATCTCCATTTCAGGCATAAGACGTCTTTGTAAAATATACATGTTGACACATATAATTATGTGTGAAGTGTGTAATTATGTTTACCATATAGAAAAGTTTATATATTACAAAAAAGTATTAACCAAAATACAATTTAGTAAATATATTAAAATTTTCTCTATACTATGTAATTTAATTTGAATTTGAAAATTTGAAGTGCATACAGATATATTGGATATCGATTGAAATTTGGCGGCTACAAATATTCTTTTTATTTTCAGTATTTGTCAAGATCAGTATTCAAATTTGATATCAGTTAAATTAAAATAGATGCAAATCTGGTAATGCCACATCCAATTCGTTTAACATCCGTATTTGAATTTGCTATTAATTTTTTCTAAAGATCATTTTCCTCTATAAATGTTCTTTTGAAAAAAAATATTCTTCTCTTAACCAAACACATCAAGTTATACTCTCTTTGTCTGAAAAACGACTCTACATTTCTTTTTCAGTATGTCCCTATTCGGTACACAAAATTGACGAAATTAGAATTGAATGGGGAGTTGGAATTCTTATAGAATTCATTTGGTTGGAATTATACCTGACAAAATATGACCCGACATGTTTTTGACCTGAAACCTGACCCGAAAATATTTGGTTTTGAACAAAGGTTTTGCTGACCAAATCCGAAATGACTCACTAAAATGGGTCAAACCCGACTAACCCGTTAGTGTAAGAGTTTTTCAAAATCATATGCTTTACTATGAAATATAATGTTATAAAAATAAGGTTATAATTATAGTTTTTTCTTACTAATTTTTAGTCTATGAGTTTATACTTCGTGACAAAATTTTAATACTATTGCATAATTATCTTATTTTTTCAAATATTGCATTTTTTAAAATTCTTCATATTGATTTATATATCTAAAACTTACTTCAGAATTTAAAATAATATAATGTAGTATATTTAATACATATTTTTTGATATTATATTTTAATGAATTTAGAAATTTTAAAACAAAGATGATAATGGGTCATGGACATAGAATTATCAACCCAAACTTGAATTGACCCGAATCCGAAGCAACCCAACCTGATTGATTGAGTTTCTAGCTCTAGATGGAATTGAATCCTCGAATTTGAATTCATTTTGGCACTACCAAATCCAAATTTATATATTTTTATACCACCAAACAGTAGAATTAGAAATATCATCCCTAATTCTAATTCCATGTACCAAAGTAAGCTTAAAAGGATTCATCTTTCTATATTTGTCAAATTTTGTGTGACCGAATATTTTTATCTCTCATCTACATCACTTTCCACCACATAATTTACTTTTTTTAAACTTTGAACAAATTCTCTACATCATTTTCAACCACATATTTTACTTTAAATTTGTGAATTTTGTGAACTGTTTGTTTGTGAATCTAGCATTACTCTTTTTTTTAAACTTTGAGCAAAGTCAGAAGGTTATTTTTTAATAAGAAGTGGCAATCGAGTCAACCAGATCGGTTCTGGATTGGATTTTTTCGGGTTGGATATCTTTCGGATATATGTTATAATCGGTTCAGATACAATTTGGATCGGATATATTTCGGTTTCTAGCTCAGTTTGGTTATATTTCGATTCCGAATATGTTTCAGTTCAGATATATTTCAATCGAATATATTTTGGATATATATTATTCTCTAATTAAAATTCAATTATCCATGTTTTTTTGTTTTATCACATTTATCAATCTATCATCAATTCCATATTATATTATATTTTTTCTAATTATACTATCTCTACCTTAAATAATTTTCTTTTTTAGCTTGTTAATCATATTTTACAAATTTTGACTACAAATTATGAAAAAAATATATATTTAATAATGATATAAATTTAATATAATTGAATTAATTTAAAATTTAATTTTTATATATAAAATTACTATCACATCTACTACTATCTTTATGCTTATAAATGTAAAGATAAAAGATAATAAATTGAAATAGTGTTACCCTCCAATTGTATACAACTAGGCAAAAATTGAGTAAAATTAAGTAAAAATAAGTGAATTTTATTTAATATTGCTCCTAAAAGTTGATAGAATTGAATGAGATTAATATAATTGAGTGCAAAATTTATAACTATTTGAGTGTATTTAGTTTAAATTAGATAAAATTAAATTCAATAAAGTCAAATACAATTAATTTACACTTAAATTTAATGATGTAGATCAAGTTTGAAAATTATAACATTGGATGCTTGCCGCTAGAGAGTTTTTTTCAAAACATTAACACTAACCTCTAACGTTACCGAATAATACTTAGAGCATGTTATTTAGGACTTAAACTCTTCATTTCTAGTTTCTGCGAATTCCTTACAGTTTCTTTAAGTTCCTTCAAGTTTCTTCACGTTCTTCGAGTTCCTTGTAGTTTCTTCCAGTTTCTTCTAGTTCCTTCCAACTATTCTTATTTTCTTCAAACTATTTCTACTCCCAACCAATTACCCTAAAAACGATATATTTTTGATGTGATTATTATTATTATGATTACAACTGTTATGTTCATAACTATATTTTATAAATTATTTTTTCATCTCACTATTTTTACAATTCACGCTCATTATTTTTTCTTCAACTTGTTAATATGAATAAGACAATTTTTTTGTATATTAATCTACATGATAAAATTAGAAAACATCAATATTTTAAACTACATTAAAAAAACTATGGATAAAATAGTTACATAGAATGTTTTATTAATCAAGTTTATATAAGACCCGTCAGTTTTCCCTTTATTACTCAAATTTTTCTTATTTTTCTAATTTTCATAAAAAAATTGAAAGTCAAAATAGTTTTAGAAATCACCCTAGATACAACTAAAACATAGAAAGAAATGTGGTAATGTGGTTGTAATGTGACACTGTGCATGTGCACATTAATATACTTTTTAGTAATGTACATGACCATGTTTGGTAATGTATATGTATTTTAACTCCTATTTCGAGAATAAAAACATGAAAGTCCTTTTTGGTCTATTTTCAATATTTTACTTCTACTTTAATCTTTTTCTTAAATAGTTTAGAGAAAAAGACTAAAATAGGAGTAAAACATAAAAACTGTAAAAAAAGTTCTATGTCTTTATTCCAAAAATAGGAGTTACAATGAAAATAAAATGTCAATCATGAAAGAAAAAATAGATTTGATTACATTATGTGACATGCCTTATATTTAAAACAAAATTTTTTAATATATAAAGTATAATTACAAATATATTATTTATAATAAATACTGAATAAATAAATTAAGGTGCAACGTAAACACAATAACTTTTTGAAATTTAAAATCTTGATATTTAAGCTCACTTTATATTGTAATTTTCCCAAGAAAGTCCTCAAGAGGATCAATGATATGTGCAGGAATTTTTTTTATGGAATGCTACTACTGAATACAAAAAGAGCCCCTACGTACAATGGGAAGAAATCTGCCTCCCGAAGAAGATAGAAGGTCTGGGCATCAGAAACATGTACATTTGGAATAAAGCTACAATAATGAAGCTGAATTGGGACATTGCAAAGAAGAAGGACATCTTGTGGGTTCAGTGGATACATGAAAGGTACTTAAAGAGGATGGATTTTTGGGAATACTCCCCCAAATCAAACTGCTGCAACTATTGGAAGAAAATGATAAAAACCAGAGAGGAGATTGCTGAGATGGGAAAGGATGCAGAATATGAAGTAAAGAAAGGGTAGTGCTGGATGGTAGGACCTAAGGAGTCTCCCTACTGGACCAGTTGGGTATGGAGTGGAACTTGTGTTCCAAAACACAGATTTATTTTTTGGTTGATTATGAAGAATAAAATGCAACAGATTGAAGAGGTTCATGGATATTGATACAAAATGTCTGTTATGTGAGGAAGAGGAGGAGAATATTAATCACCTATTCTGCAAATGTAGAGTGACCAGAAATATATATTATGAAGGTTATCTTTGAATGGATGAAATACTCAATTAGAGGGATACCTTAAAAGAGATGGGAGAGAATATATGGAGGATTAAACCTGCCCGAGCAAGGGGGGGGGTTATGGCAGCTTGGATGAATGTGTGCTATAACATTTGGAAGGCAAGGAATGCTAAGCTTCATCAAAAAGAGATTTATGAGGAAGAGATAGTAGCCACGGTTAGATATCATCACATCCAAACAAATATGAGTAGCAGTGGAAAAGGGATAACAATGTAATTGAACTGTGATGTATTAAACGTTTGAGATTGTGAATAAAAGAATAGTACTTTCGTTGAAAAGAATATTACTCCCTCCGTCCGGTATTAATGTTTACGTTTTGACTTTTGGTCATTTTTATTGATGGTTTGACTATGAAGTGAATTAGTACAAAATACCCTTCCCATGTCTAGCTTCACCACACCACCAATTTCTGCAACCCCGTTGCCGCTAACCCCCCGTCAGCACCCTGTCTCCGGCAGCCTCCCTTTGTGGCCATCCCCCACCACAATCATCAGTTTCAACATCACTGCCAACCCCACCATCTCTGCCACAACACTTCCGTCGTCACCGCCAGGCGCCTGCCCCCCATCGCCTCCGTCCCCTATCACAACCACCAGCCCTACCACCGCTGCCAATCCCACCATCTCTGCCAGAACTCTGTCACCGCCGGCCCTCCATCACTGCTAGCACTTTCGCCGCCATCTCCCATCTCTGTGATTGCAGATCTGTTTAGATCTAGAAGAAAGATGGAGAAGGATGATGAGGAAGAAGAAGTCAGATCTACACAAAGAGAAAGAAGAAAAAAGAAAAGAAAAAAATGGGGTGCTGGGAGGAAAGGAAAAGAGAGAAGAAAGAGTGAGGATAAGAGAAAGAATGAAGATAAGAAGAGAAAGGTGCGGGTAGAGAAGGGTATTTTTGGAAGAGTATGGAAGAGTATGGGTTAAAATTAGAAATGTAAACTTTATTTTCGGACGGAGAAAAAGGAGAAACGTAAACTTTATTTCTGGACGAAGGGAGTACTTTTTTTTTATCTTAAAGACTTTTCATTAAGATAAGATGATGATGATGATTATTTAATAATAATAATAATAATAATTTATAACAACAAGAATTAGAATGAGAATAATATAAAAGTACACTAAAATAATTTTTTTAAATTTTTAGGTTTTTCAATTTTTTAAAGTTTTTCCAGCTCATACTAGTTTCTTCCATTTCCTTCCCGTCTCTCTCAGTTTCTTCCAGTTTTTCTAGTTTCTTCCAGTTTCTTTCATTTTCATTCAGTTCCTTCCAGTTTCTTACAGTTTATTCCAACATTCAGCTATTTTTTTCCAGTCCTAAAGAACAGGATCTTAGTGAATTAGTTTGAAACTAATCAAATTAAACCCCAAACCAATAAAATTTATTGTAGTTGGATGAAATTAGGACAAATCTAGTTTTTCCATGCAATTTGTCGCATAATCTTTCCGTCCTAATAAGAATATCACACTTCACTATTTAAAAATTATGGAAATTTTATTTATTTGTGTGTTTTTATTAATTATTTGATAATAAACTATTATATTTGTAACATCTTATTTTGTAAAACTTTTCACGTATTTTTTTTAAATATGTAAACATTTTTTATTTCTATACCAATCTTTCAATAAAATAAATTTTAAAAACTTAAAAATTTGCTTTGTTTTGTGTTATGTGGAATTGTTTCTGAGATGGAGGTAGTTTTTTTTTTAAAAATAAGATTATTTTAATTATATCGATTTTGTAACTTAAAACTGAAATTAGTACTGTATTTTTAATATAATATCTAATCAAAAACTTAAAATTTTCATGTCTAATCTTCCCGCCTAAAGCTCAAAGTTTCCCTATTCTTTTTTGCTTTCCCTTCTTAATTTTATCTCTTTTTTACGTCACCATTCTGCTCATTCTCAATTCTTACTCACATTCAACTCTTAGACATAATTTCTTTCAACTGATGCTTCACCTAGTTTTTCAAATATTTTATTATCTTTAATTTTGTTAATAACAAAATAGTTGGCTCACTTTATTCATCCCATATTTTATATGTATAACTTTTTTCAATTTTTAAATATAATAAATTTAAGACATGAGATTTTGTAATTTTTTAAAAGATGATAATCCTCTTTTATGAGGGAATGAATAAGTAATGTAATTAGTTCATATGGTAAAATAAAAGTAAAAATTTAAAAATATAATATGTTTATTGAAAGGCAAACATAGTTTTAGATTTTATCAGTTTTAGTTCTAATCGGTTTTCGGATCTAATTATTTTCGGGTTTTATTAGTTTTGGGTAATAACGGTTTTGGATTTAATTGGTTTCGGATATGATCGGTTTTAGATTTAAATTGGATATGAATTATTTAATTCGGTTTCAACTTGGTTCGAATCATTTCGGTGTTTGGTTATAGATCAAATCTTAATTTTAATTTTTAGGATCATTTAAGTTTCAATTTCGATTTGGAATAATTAGATTCGGGTAATGGGTTTCAGTTCTCTTTTGAGAGGTCTTCATTCAAGGGACTAGGAGAGTATGAGGGTTTTGCGGTTGTCTACTGCGGCTCGTCGTCTCTGTTATCGCGTTTCACGGATCTTCCCGACTGGTAAGCTCTCGCCATGTGTTTTTTCCGTTTTGATTTTCTCTTTTCATGGACGAGACTATGGTCCTACGATGTTTCAGTGGTTGAACTATTGCCTGTAATTGTTCTGATTGTTTACCGCGTTATCCTGACCGACGATTGGCTTTGTTGTATGCTTTTGGTCCTCTGCTTCTACATTTTGTGCTTTTTTGTATATTGGCTATGTTTGGGAAGAATTGTGCGCATACATCATTCGTATATCGATGCTGGTTTCCGTTTTCCCCTTTTTGTTTTCATTTTCATTGCTAAGTTCAGAGAAAGCATGGAACTGAGCGACCCATTCTTAGGGAGAAATACAGTATGTACAATATTTTGGTGAGGTGATAAGTAGTGCTTAGTGAAAAAGGAAAAGAGAGAGTGCTGATTGCTGAATGAACTTGAGATTTTTTTTTGTTTTTGAAGTAATCGAAAGTCTTTGTACATTTGTTTATTTTGATTTAAAAAAAACCGTGCTTTTGGTCACTTTTCTAAAATTGAAGGAGATTCTCTGTGTTGTATAATGCGAAGGTTATGTCGAATATGCCAGTTTCATTCGAGTAATATCCGGTAGGCCGCCAGGCCTAACTTTACCAACTGTCTGGTATTATTAAGTTTTTCTCTGGATGGTTGCCACTTAACATTATAATTGAGTGCCTAGAATCTAGAAAATAATAAAAATTATCAGCATTTGGAAGCTACAAAAGCAATCAGCTTGGGAGCTTATTTTACCGGGTACTACACCTTTATTCTCACTGTTTCTTCAATCTATTTTAGCATAGAATATGGAAAAGGAGACTGCAGTTCTAGAAATGAATACATTGTATTTTGAAATTGTTCTGTTTTAGCCTGGAATAGATAAGGAGACTGCAGTTCTAGAAATGAATACATTGAGTTTTGAAATCCAGTTTTGGATGCTCTCTTTATGCCATAATTCATCACAGAACGAAGCTCTTTGATGACTGCTCTTGTTTTTATATTGTATGGGTTTAATGAGATTTCTCTTGATTTTGTAAACAGGAAAGTAGAAGAGTCTTAACATCTTGCTTACTACAATGTCTGGGTATGTTATTTTGCTAAATTTTTGTATTCAATTTTAGATTTATTTTATTTTGCTAAATTCCTATTTTGACTTTTGGCAAATTTATTTTTGTAATTTGATTTTGTAATTATATCCTTAGTGTAGAAGAAAAAAGAGAGACATGTCACTTAAATAACTTATTACATCAATGCAAAATGGATGGAGAATATCACAATGATTTTATTTGGATATATTAGTCATTTTATTCTAAAATGGAAGTGTTTTGTCGAAAACAAAAAATATGGAATTTCAAAAGCAGAGCGAGTACATGCTTATATTAGATCAGAGAATGATTGGTTAGAGTACACTTGACTTTTAGATGAGAAGTACAGAAGTGTAAATTTGACTTAGATGTCCAAAGAAGGAAATTTGATGTTTATTTAAAGGAGGGGGTATGTTGTTTAGTGTTTCATGCACACGGGAAGTTGTTATTTATTAAGCTGTAAATGTGTATGAACTCTTTGCTTATCACCAAAGTTCCTTTTTAATGCTAAATTCAAATAATTTCAGAGAGGATGGTGGTCCAGTTGCAGTCCAAGAGACCCATGCCGCAGCTCCTCTTGGGGAGCCAATGGACCTTATGACCGCAGTGCGTTTAGTTCTGAAGAAGTCCAAGGCCTATGGGGGTCTTATGTGTGGGGTCCATCAAAGTTGTAAGGCAATCACAAAGAATAAAGCACAACTCTGCATCTTGGCAGACGACTGTGATCGACCTGACTATGTCAAGTTGGTTAAAGCACTCTGTGCTGATAACAGTGTGAAATTGATTTCGGTCCCCAGTGCTAAAACTCTTGGCGAGTGGTGTGGCGTAAGTAGTTTGTGTTTTAAAATGATTATACAATTGGACAAACTTCTCCAACTAATGGGCTTTTTATGTGTCAAATGTTTTTGCCTATTTTTCATTTCTTCGCTTTGGTTAAATGCTTAGATAATACATTTGCTTTAACTCTCACTGTTTTTTTGCAGTTATGCAAGATTGACTCTGAGGGAACAGCAAGGAAGGTGGTTGGTGCATCGTGTGTTGTTGTGGTGGTACGTATCGGGAAAATCACAACTTTTACTTTCTTGTACTCTACTTACTCTGTTTTGTTATTCACTTCGGGCATATTTTTAAGCATCAATAAAATCGTGCTGCTGTCTTTCTCTGAAGTCATAAGCACTGTATGTTGCTATATTTGCCCTATCCTTTTTTATAGTACCCTCTCACTTCCGAACTGCGATTCTCCTTTTTTTAAAAAGGTGTTTGGTGATAAAATTCATTTTTTCTATTCATTTTTAAATAAATCTCAATTGTTGTTTTTAAAACGCTAATAGGAGGTTCGTTTTATGACGAATGCAGTTGTTTGCTTCGAGCAGTTTTCAGTAATTTTGACTATCTTCTACTCTTAGGTCATGAACAAATGATATGCCCAAATGTAAACTACCTAAAAACACATTGTGACTTTTATTGGGCTGATTATTTACTACTATTAATTTTTCTGCAGGATTACGGTGTGGAGCACGAGGGCCTTGATATAATTAAGAATCTGGAGAAGACGCATTAGATAATATATTTCACAGTCCGGTGTCGTTTTTGCCTATGCTCTATGATGTTCTCTCCATCTCCACGGGGTTGTTGATAGCTGCAAAAGCTGCAACTTTATGAGCCACAAAGTTTTACCGAGTATTTATTTTGATTTTAATGAAAGAAATGAGTGTTCTTGGGGTTTATAGGAGCACATGAATCTTATGTTTGGGTGCCCAACTTGGGTTGTTAGAGTTGTTAGACTTATTGTGTTATGTTTTCTTGTCAAAATTGTGGATTGTTATTTATCCGAGAGATTAAGGCAGCGTTCCGTTCATTTGAAGCATGTTTTAAAAAGGAGTGCTTCTTTGGTCCAGTCGAGTCAAAATATTGAAAATCGCAAATTGAGTAGAAATATCAAAAATTGCAAATTGAGTGGAAATCATTTGAATCGTGTTTTAAAAAGGAGTGCTTCTTTGGTCCAGTCGAGTCAAAATATTGAAAATCGCAAATTGAGTAGAAATATCAAAAATTGCAAATTGAGTGGAAATCATTTGAATCGTGTTTTAAAAAGGAGTGCTTCTTTGGTGCACCTTAAATGCATATCAAATTTGTGAATCTTCTCATATAAAAAATCTTTTTTTAATTTGAAAAAAACAAATACTTATTCAAGTAAGAAAGAAATACTTATTTTGCTTATATGTAAGTTCATAGTGGACCTTAGGTCCACCATAGAATTTGCTTTTAAAAAGAATCAAGCAAAATAAAACCTAATGCCAAAGATTAACACCAAATTGTTGCTGCTCGGTTTATGGTGATCACTCTTGAAAATTGAATGAATGCAACAAATAATTAGAAATTTTTTATTTTTCTAATTTCATTAAGTTAATTCTAGTTGTTTTTTAAATTTCTTACAGTTTTGGAATTATCCCCATTCTTTTGAATCTTTTTCTACTCTCATAGTGGTGTCAAATATCTTAAACTTTTTCTAGCACTTTTATTCTAATACCCCCTCCGTCCCTAAAAGATCTTCCCCTTTCATTTTTTTGTTGTCCCCAAAAGATGTTCCATTATATATTAAAAAACCACTTTTACCTCTTACTTTTTCATATTCTATCTATCACATCATACTTTTTTACTAATAATCTACACATCACATCTTACTTTTAACTATTACATCAAGAATATTTTTGAAAAGTTAACACAAAAATATCTCTCCCTTAAATCATCAAAAAGTTAACAAGGAAAGATGTTTCAGGGACGGATGAAGTACTTTTCAAAAGTAAAGTCAAAGTGATGTCAAAGTGAAAGAGATGTCAAAATCTTAAAGTTCCCCTAGCACTTTTACATCCTTTTCTGTTCAACACCATGCTATAGAATGTCATCAAATGACTGTATTTATAAGTTGCTTATTAGGTAAATAAATACTCCGTACCTACTTATTTTAAACCAATTCTTCTTATTTTTCTTTTAGCCCAAACCTTTAACAAAACTATTCATACGTTTTTATGAATAACCAATCGGTCATTGAAGCAGCTTACAAATTTAAAAATGAATCCCCTAAGTTTCGACTTTGTCTAGCACACACTTATAAACTATACTCCAGAAATAGCCATTTATTTCTGCAAGCTTCCAATTTTTGCCAAATTCAATTGTTTTATGCGAATTTTAATGATCGGAGCTTAGTATTTCATCCTTCATAAGGCTAACCCATTATGATAGGAATTAAATGAACTAAACTTGAGGAATTATGAAAAAGAAATTGTGAGTTTAATTGCAGAATGAAAGGTAAGGTGGAACATAAACTAAGCCATCACTTCCAGACCTAAAGTAAGATTAAACACTTCAGTTGGACCAGAAAAGTAAGAGCCTAGACCATAACAATTCAGCTAAAGGGTAGGAAGGATGGATGGGGTCAAAATCAAGAAAAAACAAACTCCACACTTGTCATTCTACATGTCACATTTGGAGAATCATCATCATCATCATCCATCATCATCATCATCATTCTAGTTCACAGTCCTCACAAATGAGACTATTTCGGTGGGCAGAAGAGTAATAATGTGATTCAAGTTCTTTGAGGCTCGCAGCGGCATCCTCTGCAACCCCACTTAGCGCCCGCTCGGTTTTCTCTGCTAGTTGCTCAAATTCTTCACATCTTTGTTCCACGTGATCGTTCAAGGACGCGAATCCAGAGAAGATGGCGGTTTGTTTCAACTCGGACACCAACTTGAGCAGCGAGTCGGCTGCCTGAACCTGTTCCAACACAAGACAACCACTGCGATTGAGAATTATATTAGAAACATACACTTCATATACTTTTTTTTGTCACTGTGAAATACATATTTCTAGATACTCCATGGTTGACTGGGGCAAGAGTGGAAGAGGTAATGTTTGGACATCATTTGAGAGGGTGGGTATTCATAAAAGGTATGGTTTTGCTTATACAATGCTTCAGTAATATAAAAAAACATGCAGGTGTGTGAACTCAGCATGTTTGGGCAAAACGGTCATGCATTTTTTAAAAGAACACAGATCATGAAAGACGATTAACGGGCAAATATACCATGACGAAAACAAACCCAGTAGAATCCCACATACTAAAGGGTCAGTCTGGGGAGTGTTGAGATATCAAACTATTCCAACACCGAAAGAAAAAGGGAGAAAGAACCAAAATATATTAGATTCAACCGAACCTATTAGTACGAGGTTTTTTGGGAGGTGCCCAAAAACAAATTCACAATGCCTTGGCCTAGAGCAAACAATATCATACTAATGCAAGGTTGGGGTGAAGGTGTGTGTGATCCCAACATGTGGCATCGAAGCCCATGATTTGGCGGATCAAATGGTGTAGCCCAGCAATGCCTTTTGAGAGGTGCCCAAACCGCAGTCCCAACAAGGAGGGTGTAAGTAAGCACACCTTACCCCTACTTTGTCGATAAACAAGCAAATATAGGCAATTCGAATAATAAAAAAGGAAGCATTAATGTGTGCCACCACCATATAGCAAAAAGTAATCTCACCATTCGGGATGCTCGAACCTCCATCATAAAAGCTTCTTGGGAATTTCTAACCGGCGGATCATTTACCTATTTATTTTTACATGTTTGAAGATCATCATCAACATAAGGAATGAGCCACCCAAGCACAACATTAACATACACTATGTTACTTATGTAAAGAATTCCATTCAGTTATATAGCAAAATCACATAAACTCCCTCCTTCCCCTTCCCCACAAAAAAGGAGAGTTCATTAATTCAAAGAACTGTGTATACAGAGCAAATTCAATACGGAGTAAAACAAATCCTACAAAGAGGAGGATGATGATGATCTTTGAACAAATTTCAGAATTTGATCATTGCTAGAAATAAAATAGGGAAAGAGAGGGAGTTGATGTACCCGGGCAACATTGACAATGAAGCTGAAATTGTCAACTATGCTTCCAATATCGTTATCGACTCTCTGCAACAAATTCTTCTGCTTCTGAGCGGCCGCTGCGGCGGCGGCGGCAGTAGGCCCATCTCCTACACCTCCCTTGTTCATCCCGATTAGTATAAGTCCGAGCTTAGATCTTAATCCAGAAGCACGAAGTGGAGAACCTAGGGTTGCGGAAACATCGAAAAGCTAAAATTTCACCCCAAATCTCAATTCGTAAGAAAATAACACGGAGTATGTGGAACTATGGTTGATAAAGCTAGGGATTTTGGACGGAGGGAGAGGAAGTAGCTGGACAGGCGTTCAATACTCATTTAGCATTCTTTTGGATACTTATTTTTGAGTATATTTGAATTTTAGAAAAAATAATTTTTTCTTCGTCCCCAATTTGATTACAACTTTTTTTCTTTTCTCAGCTCCCTAATCGTGATTGTACACTTCTGTAGAGTGAACAATCTCTCCCATTCAACATCATCCAGTAACTGTTGAAAATACACATCACGAGAAATACGAGTCATTAGAAAATACGCATCACGAGTGAACAAGCCCTCCACTTTTGGAGTATCATGAATAATACATGATGCATTCCGAAACACCAACGGAACTAGTCATCATAAAAACACGGATTGTTCAAAAATTAATCTTCGAACAGGTGGCAAGCGACTTGCTTACGGCCCCAGCGAATGGACAACCGGATACATGGAACGAGAAGAGTGGCTGTCGCAGCCTGTCGAGCGATTTCATTTTGGATCTCCGCCCAGATTAGAGGCAACGCCTCATGGTGCGCTGCAATTAGCAAAGCCACAAGCCCTTATCCGTCGGGGAAGAGCCATTTTTTAGAGTTCAATGAGAAAGATGAAGATAGATTGAAATAGGGATGTAAACAAATCAAATATTTTAAATTCGATTCGCGATTTGTATTCGAATATGATGATTCGAATTCGCATTATTCAAATACAAATTCAAATTCAAATATTTTTTTTGATTCGAATATTAATCAAATACAAATACAAATAGGGATATATTTGATTCGGATGATATTCGAATATTCGAATATATGTATATATACATAGACCATATTTTCAACATCAAAAGTCAAGCAAAGTAATATAGTATAAAGTGTATTTAAAATACTAAGAATTCAATAAATTAACGTAACACGAAAATCTAAAGCATATGATTTTTAATAGTTATATTTTATAAAATATAATTTGTGTAAGATGCAGATGTATTAATGTTTTTATATACGGAATATAGTATAGTATAAAGAGTATCGTAAGTTAAATTACAAATTGATGTTGGTCCATCATATAAATTACATAGTATGATTATTCAAATATTCGTTTATGATTCGATAACTATTCGAATATTAATCAAATACTTATTCAAATCTTATTTTGAATTCGTATCATATTCGGGTTCGGATTCGTATTCGAAAAAATTAAACAAATACAAATTCAAATATATCGGTATTCGCTTCGATTCGGTTCATTTAAAAGGGAGAGTGAGATGACATTGAATGAAGGATAAATTAGAAATAGACAAATGAATTTGTAGAGTTGAAATTAAAAATAATTAAACCGGTGCGGCGGCCGCCCTACAATGGATGACAACAGAGAAACTTGCCTGCGTCGCAAGAACGGCATGCGCCGTGGGATTCGGCGCGGCTGGCGTCTTACAATTCCGTGGCATCCGGTGGGGCGGATGTTCTTGGCCCCATTGTAAATGGCCTTAACTCTCGATGATGAGGCGTTGAGTGTTGTTGCATTCGGCCCAATTTTGGGTCCAGTTGATAAGAAGAGAGGAAACTGGAATCTAAAAATAGAAATTGAGAGTGAAATTTAAATACTATGTAAACTCTAAAAATTAACGTTCACCCAGAGTTCCAAATATCTGAATTCAAAAGTTGAAAAGAATTAAAATAAGTTGGCAAACAATTGTAAAAAGAAAAAAAAAACATCTCCTTTCTTTGTTAACTTATTACCTCCTACATTTTTTTGAATGACTCAGTAATAAAGAAACTGTTGAATGCTGTACAAATATAATTCTGCTATGCTATACTCTCTCTAACTGTGATGCCAATATGTTTACAGTAAATGCAAGATGCCATGAACCAACCATTCTGGCGCAGGCCCTAATCTTCCATTTCTGTCTCTTCATCATCATCGTCCTCCTCATTCTCTCCATCCCCAAACTTTTCCTCAGTTTCTTCACTATCTTCATCATCATCACGAAAAGCCCGCCATGGCTGCTTCACCAAATTGAGATATGAGGCTGGAGAAGAGGTGGCACTCTGGCGCTGAGCTTTTACAGGGGGTGGCAAGGTCAGGTTTGGGCCGTTTTGTTTATGGGCCTTAACGGTTTTGCGTTTTGTGCTCCTCTGTTCTTCAGGGGTAAGTTGGGGATTCTTAGCAGCATCTTCGTCCATGAAATGAGTGGGGTGTTCTTTCCTCAGATGAAGATTCAGCTTGTATTCATGAATGTAGGCTTTGTCACACCCTTCATAAGGGCATGTGTAAGGGCGGCGGTCAGAAGAAGAAGAAGCAGCAGCAGCATGATTTGCTGAAGATTTTGCTTTTTTGGTTGGTGGCTTCTCGGCGGGTTGGATGAGCTTTGGTGCATCAGGTGTGGTCATCTGATTGCAGGGAAATATACAAACAACAACAACCCAGTTAAATCCCACAAGAGTAGGGTCTGGGGAGGGTGTGTGTACGCAGACCTTGCCCCTACTCGAAAGTAGAGAGGCTGTTTCCAAAGCCAAAAAATGGTGAAGTTTTGGCTCCATCAGAGATGATGGAAATTGCAGGGAAATATAGTTGTTAGCATATATACACTACTCTTGTTTTATGTAATACTACTGTACATGGTTCATTACCAACGACACTTGTTGTACCTTGCCAAAATCTAAAAGTTGTACATTAGTCAAAAATGACTATTTTTGGGAGCGAGAGTATCGTTTTGCCCTAATGCACCCTTCCCAAGGAAAAGGGGGTGGGGGGAGAGTAGTATCACAGACCTTGTGATGAGCAGATGCTATGTGATTTTTGAGCTTGTATTCATGTGCAAATCGCTTTCCACATTCCGTGTAAGGGCATATATGGTAATTTTCTTGTGAATGCGTCTTCATATGTGATTTTAGGTTGAAATCTAACGAGAAAGCCTGCAAAACCAGGGGGGTGGGGGTGGGGGTGGGGGGAACATGATGGATTTGAGTAAAGATATATCACAACAAATCATATTATGGCCACAAAAGTGGAACTTCCTGAAGACCAATGACGAGTTATTTACCTTGCCACAGCCCTCATGTGGACACATATATTTTCGCTCCCCAGTATGAATAAGAAAGTGTCTCTTCAACTTTGAGCTATCCAAAAATTTCTGCATTTATTAAAATCATAATAGTACAATTTCCTTATCCAAAAGACCAAAACACACTTGCAGAAAACAAGTCTTCACACAATCTCTCTCAAAGAGCAAAGGTAGGAAGGGTTTGTTAGAATTTCTAAGATTTTGAGCTCTTTGGTAAAGCGTAAAATGTATGAAGTGGTTGAATCACCTAGCATGGATGAAATACTGAAATCATCTACCATATATAAATATAGTTCTAGAGAAAAAATAATACTTTTAAATAAATATAGTAGAACACTTTTCTTCCTTTCAACCGAAAAGTAACCTCTGCACTGCTTTATCTAGTTATTATTATTATTATTATTATTATTATTATTATTATTAAAAAATCATACTTTTTCTACTTTCTTATTTTCAACCAATTCAGTCAACACAGCAATCAAATGATTAGGCATTTGGAAACAAACTGAAAGAAAAAGGCCACTAAGCTGAGTATGAAGGCCACCAAACAGGGCCTTAGTATAGCATATGAAGAACATAAACATGAGTATTGAAAGGGCAAAATAAGTTCATTACCCTTCCACAGTTCTCATAGTGACAGACATATTGTCTCTCTCCATGGATGTGAGAATGTTTCCTTAGGGCCCCGGCATCAATGAATGTTTTTCCACAACCTTCATAACTGCAAAGGAATAGAACATCAGTAGCTGGTTCTGGCTCAGGTTTTGCAACTTCTCTCTCCTTTGTCTCCTTTAATGCTTTCAAAGTGGCCTCTGATATATACAAGCCACAAAAAAAATTAATTTAACTAATTATGCTTCTACTTCTAGTAGCTTACTGATCTTTTGCAACAGTGTGAATAAAATCATTGCGGTTGATTAACAAGAGAGGAATCAGAACTAACCATTAACCCATTTTAAGAGCAAGCACTTTCCACCTGTTGCTACAACATCTTGCGGAACCCTGTCACAAAATAAAGAAGCAAAAAATGATTACTTCCTTCATTCCGAATAATAGTCATATATCACAGAATGAAACTAATTTTTCAGGTAAAACATAACCAATTTAGGTAATCCAGGGAACAGATTTTTTAAATACACTCATGTTCCTTAATAATCTTCTCATTTTGACATTACATGGAGTTTAAGAAAGGAAGGCGGCACCTAGGCACTGCCTAACCGCCCTGATTTTAGCTTACATGAACCAAAATCAGCATGGGTGCCTAGGCGGCTCCAATTACAATTTTAAATGTTCTTTTTTCTAGCCAAAATGACATTTTTTTCTATCTTTTTTACATATTAGACAATAACAAGTAAATCAATAATAACATATACTCAATATATACTGCGATATTTATTTATTTTTTATGTTATCTTTTTATTTCTTGAATGTTGAGTCCTTGATTTCTAATTCATTTCATGCACAATATGCTATATCGTAATCCCGCTATATTAGAATCATGTATACACACAATAAATGAAATGCACTTGTTTATATAATAAAAGATTTTGTTATACATCATATATATACATTAAATTTATGCCGGGTACCTTTATATTTTAATCTAAAAAAATCTCAACAATCATTAAAAGCAAAAAATATATATACTTGGCTTGCTTTTAGGTAGCGGCTAGCTGCCACCCTAAGCATCGCGTAAACACTCTGCCCGCCAGACGCCTAGCACTTACACTGATTAAGAATATAATTTTATTACTATTCGCAGAATAATAAGATAATCAAGATAGACAATATGGCAAACGAAAAGTGAAGAAAGAGAGGGATGTGTGGTGAAGCATAGCAGATGATAACCATTCTTTGTCCCATAAAAGAGTCAAGTTTGGTCAAGGTAATTTTTTTTTAAAATTTTGCCAGGATACATCACAATTCTTTAGCATTAGAATACATACCCCGGAGTACATTTTAAAGTAACATGTTAAAATATATAACCTTTTCTAAAACTTTAACAACAAATTTAATCTTTTAGTCGAGTTAAGTCTTAGACAAAGAGATACTCTACAACTACTTCTCTTCAAATGATCACAATTTAGGAGGAGAAAAATTGGAAGAGAGGGAATTTTTTAGACTAGATTTCTCTTGGGCCCATTTTGTGTGACCTAAACCAGAAGAGGACCTCAAGTCTCCAACCAACAGACAATATGGGTGTAATTTGGTGGAGGGGAGCTCCACTTTCGTTCAACACTTTGTGTGTGTGGGACGGGGGGGGGGGGGGGGGGGGGGGGGGGGGGACAGGGGGCTACCCATTTTGGGTTAACGAAATTATTTTTAACTTAAAGTTTTTTAAAAAAATCGTGTAACACAATCTTATTTTTTTTTAAAAAAAATTGGCATATCACTTTGTGACTTATAACATGGAGACGAGGATGGTGACTATAAGTAGACCTTTCCCTTCTATAAAATAGAGGAACTTATTTTTTAACTTCAAATTAAAAATGTGTACACCCTAATATATTGCTTTCTTCATTCCTAAAGGATTTCTTGCTACACTGTATGGCTGAAACTATTTTCAACTTAATTTATTTGAAACTTAGTATATACCCGTAGTAGTTGAAAAAAATAAAATTTATATATTTAAAAACTAAGTAAATTTTTTTATAAAACAATGAGTGACAACTGACAAGGTTACCTTCTTTTACCAAATGTGTAGTAAAATTAGCAAAGAAAGTGGTCAACAACTTCTTTTAGGGAGGAGGGAGGAAGTCTTTACCAAAGGAGCCCAAATACAAAGTAGTTATTTTTTTTTTGTGTGGAATCAATAGATTAAATTAACCAAGCAGATTATGAGAAAACCCGGATAAGTAACACAAGCACAAATCAGATATATGATTAAGTAAAATGGACGAATTGCTCAGAGGTTACCATTCCCTGAACCATTTGGTGGTGGCCGGAGATTTGGAATTGGTGGCCACGCGTCGGTCGGAGAGGTTGCGGAACGCCGGAGATTCCATCTTATCGGAAAAAAGCGTCGATGGCCGGACGGTTACTCTCTCTGTCACATGACTCAGGCGGCCTAGGGTTAAATTGAGCAACTTTACTCGCCGCCTCTATCTTAGGAGAACCGCTTCGGCGCGTCCTCTGTTATGAAAAGTCCTCGAAGGAGAGTTTGTGTAGAGCTTGGGTAGGAGTAGTAGGGTTAGAGCCCATACGGATATGGATGGGGAGAACGCGAAAGGAAACCATTTTAGACCAAAGGTCACTGGCTATTCTCTTAAAATCTACAGTAAAATCTTATGCGGTCCACCCGGCCATGTTAGAGAAGAAGGCACGTTCACACCATCTCGATTTCTTTTAGTAGCCATAGCTTAGGGTACGTTTGGACTGAGGGAGGTGGAGCTAGGTGTGAACACATACGGTTTTGATTCCAGTACTACCACCCCTTAGCACTTTTATCAGTGCTGGTTGTCATGGTGTCGGTACTGGTTCTAGAACCCGCATTTCCGGCATCAGATCCAGGCTGATTTCGGCTGTTTGCAAATTTTTTTAGTTGTAAATATGTAAGTGTAAAATAAATTAAATGTTCTTATAAATTATAATTTCTAAGAATGTAGTTGTTATTTATATAATCAAAAATGAATAGTACAAAAACAACTACATTTAATATCTTGACGGTTCAAAAAAAGCGACGAGGTAAAAAAACCTACCTTCGAAGGAGCTTATAAATCGCTCACCTATTAAAACTAGATAGAATATAAAATAAAAATAGAAAATTATTCTTCGGAACTACCGCTTCCCTCTGTGGTTGCATCCATGTAATTTTGTATATCAATGTCGTACCCTGACTTTTGAGCTCGACGTCTTGCTAAGAGCCAATCTCGATTGCAAATAAGTGTCTCAAGCGATTCAACGATAAGACAATTTTGGTAGTCAGTTAGAATGTTGCCGCTAGAATTGAACTCTTGTTCCACTGCTACGGTTGAAACCGGCATGGATAAGACTTGTCTGGCTAGCATTCCGAGAGACGTGAACATGTGTTCATCCCGCTTCCACCATTCGAAGACGTTGAACTCACTATCGATGTCTTCATCGTACTCACTTGGGACCCTTTGGTATATCACAAGTTCATTGTGTGAACTTACACTTGTACTACTTAAACTCATCGAGACAGAACTACGCTCACCTTTTTTTGCCAAGAGGTCATCAACTCTCCCTTTAAAACCTTTTTTTTGTCTTTGAAGGCAGAGGAGCTATTGTTTCTTCTAGTGCACTACCGTACAAAACTTGAAATTTTTTAAATAATGACTCAAAAAGATCAATAGCATTACCTCTATCTTTTATCCATTCTGTTAAATGGTCATAGAAATAATTGTTTTTATCTAAAAACAACTATATTAATACTCCATGAGAATTTTAAAATTATCAATCTTAAAGCGTGGATCACAAATAATACCAATTTTATAAATATCAAGAATATACAAGTAATAAGCACACCGTTTATCCTTCATAGGATACACATAGGGGTACAAATGTGGATCTAAAAAAACTTTCACGAAAACATGTTGCAATTGTAATACACTAAGAAAAAAATATGTTTGTTGTAGGCTTGTAAACATGCGAGAAAGTAACAGCTAAATTATTAAAAACTTCTAACACGATGTGTAATTTTTCAACAAGAGTAAATTCATTCAAATCAACCATATGATGAAGTTCACACCTGAGAAATGAAACAAGTTCCTCTTTATAGTCCAGAATCTGTGAAATTAATTTATGTGTACTATTCCATCTAATCGTAATGTCCTTAACAAATGTTTTTGCTTTTCTATTCATAGATTTACAGTAAGACTTCCATGCCTTCGAATGAATAGAGTATCCCAAATTGTTTTTAAACCACCCTTAATATTGGTCAAAATTTCCTCCAAAGCTGCTAATCCTTGTTGGACACGGAAATTAAAAACATGACATGCACATCTTTAGTATAAAAATCTACCCATGGCGGTGCTCGAGGGCAAATTTCTTTTAGTTTAAGAATAACACCAGTATTATTAATAGCATTGTCAAAATTAAATACAAACACTTTATCAAGTAAATTATATTCTTTGAGAATATGCTCAAGCAAAAAAACAATATTATCACCTGTGTGAGATTTATTAAAATCAAGAAATACAAGAACACATTCATGCATTATCCAATCATTATCTATCCAATGACAAGTAAAACCCTTGTAAGACAAATTATGATAAGTTTCACTCCAAATATCAAAATAAATACTAACAGCGTGTGGCTACGTCCATCCTCCTGAGAGACTTTTTCAAGTGACACTAACTCTGTTAAGCTTAAAGGTGCTTAACAAACCGATACAACTTGAAAACTCATGTAACACGAGCCTCAACGCCACTTGCTCAAAGATACGCACTCCTAGACTTCACACGAAGGAACGAAAACTTCCTTCAATTACAATAAGGGAACAAACCTCCTTTCGAGTGTGTAAAAACACTTAAATACTGAGGAATAAAAGCTCTCTTAAAGAGTAGATATGAGTGAACTAATAAAAATAGTTATCTAATAAAAATACCCCAAAAACAAAAGATCATTTGTTGAGGGTTCTTCCCAAAAGTAATACTTGCGCCCAATAGTTTCAAACAAGCACCTAAAAGATGCAACTGCATTTTCCTTCATCTGTAATTCACAAAAAACATAATATTTATGAAACACGGATAAATATGTTGAAAACTACTTGGATGCTATAGAACTTAAAACATATGAGTATAGAAGTGTTTAAACCACCTTTTCTTCACTCAAGCCTATGCACTCCTTCACACTTTGAGCTTTGAAGTCGTTCTGAATTTTGTAGAGCTCATAGCTAATACATCTCCACAATGAAACGACCATTGTATCAATAATCATATTTTTTCTTGCAATAGTTTCACTATTCATAAGCCCATGATCAACATCTTTAATCTTTGCCACATTTAACAATTGTCTACTGCCTCCATTATCCTCATGTTTCAAGATGACTTGATTGATGTTCTTCATATACGTCTCATCGTTGTATATGAAGAAAGGATATTCTACTAGCAACCAAGAAAAAAAGAGTGTATTTATTATCACGTCAAGACAAAAACAAGAGTTCTCCATCTAATTGCCAACGAACAAAAATAATCAAAAATTGAGGGTCTAAATACCGTGCTCATCTGCATTCAAAGGACGGCAAACAACCTCGATACCATTTATTTTCAAGTAGGTGAAAGCAGCCATAGTAATTGGATTAGTCGTTATTTCTAGTATACTCTTATTTTGAGTATCTTCGATATGACCCCCTGGACGAACCAAACAAGCCTTGTTTTAACAAACTTTGAGAAAGCAAGTAGCAAATTGCATTTATTAGACAAAATGCAACGAATCTAGCTAACATATGGAAATCGACGTTGGTGATATCTTTGTGTGTGTGTGTGCGCGTTTTGTTAGAATAATAAAGGAGATGGGGAATTCACTTAGAAGTCTTCATTGTGTGTTGTAGTGATCGGGAATCAGGGGTGAAAAACAACAAGGAGTATAATCAAAAGAAAAACACCACATTATGCTAAGAACAAATGGACAATCTGCTTGGAAAGTGGTAGAGGTTTAGTTTAAACCAATTACAATTCAGCTTTACCAAGACTGCCGGTTGGTTCATGGTCACAAAAAGAAACACTTGGTAGAGCTACATAATGTATGAAGCGACTTTACACTATTTAATGTTAAGGGGCGTCCAATGAAAAGTAAATTTCTACCAGAACTTGGAAAATCAACTCAAATATGTTTGTGTTTATCGACTCATAAGCGGAGAAACATTCCCTACTTGCAATATAGACTTGCAAAAACAATAAATCTGGGCCATTGGGTTTCCAGAGTATAATCAGTGCAAAAGTCAATAGAGAAGATACTCTTGGATAGGAGAAAGAGCAAAGCTCGGCTCACATCAAGCCTCAAAAGAGCCTTTTTCAAACAATACATGATTACTACTCGTATTAAGGAAAACCGGAGAAGCACACAAAATGATTCTTAGAAAAAGAAGGCAAATAAGCAGAAGAAAGCACAGATCTAGCAAGTGCACACGTAAAATCATCACCTTCCTGCCATCTCTGTAGATTAGAAGCCGATTTTGCAGTAGGAATCGAGAAAATGGTGCCCCTGCTCTACGCGTTTTCAGACAGATAGAGGAACCCTAAACAACGCCAGAAAAAAACAACATCAATCGCAACTTACAAGTGCGATTTTAGCGAAGGAAAAGCAACGGTTTTAGCGAAAACAATGAAACACCATGCCTGAGATATGTGGGGCGGCGCTCCTGAAAGTTTGAGAGCTGCGGTAGTGGGGGGGTGGGGGGGAGCTTGTAGGGTTGCCAGACACAAAGTGTTGATGCGTTAACAAAAAATTTATACTGATATTAACAAAAATTAACATTACACCAACACAAAATATTAGTACATCCTTGCGGTATACAAAATTTAAATTAATTAACCTCTAAATCATTCCTTAATTAGGAGCTAAGAGTGGATTTATTACGGTAGAGGCCAGTATGATTTATTTATGAAGTCCCACTCACTTTCTCCAACTAAAGTAGACTTGGCAAATATAGAGACTTTTAGAGGTCATCTTCTCTTCCACTTATTTTTTTACTTATTACTTATTTTTATTAGAATCTAATTAGATTAGAAATAGATTTAAATATAACTATGTTACAATCAGATTAGACCACATCGGATCAAAACTTATTCCAATCAGATTAGAATCAATCATATCAGGTGAAGAAAAATAAATACAACTAGGGGTCATCAACTGGTCATGTTCTCTTCACTCGATCTGATTGAAAAAAATTATTGTATGGTCTGATCCGATCTGAATGTAGTTACATTTAAATTTATTTCTAATCTGATCAAATCTGGTCTGACCTGATTCCAATGAAAAAAAGTGATAAACATTAATTCTATAGAATTCTTAGCCCGTATACAATAAGAGGTCGGTTCAAATGAAATTGAGAACCAATGTCATGAGATGACCCGGGGATGGTCCGGTGCCCCGTTCGTAAAATTGACGGTTCCTACCCCCCTAACCCCCCGGTAAACCCCCCACCACGCCCTGACCAGAACACGCCTCCCCACCCCCTTCAATTGCACCCCAAGTTGATTTTGACTTTGGAGTCAAATTTTGACTCCAAAGTCAAAATCAACTTGGGGGTGCAATTGAAGGGGGTGGGGGAGCGTGTTCGGGTCGGGTCGGGGCGTGGTGGGGGGGATTACCGGGGGGGGGGGGGGTTGGGGGTAGGAACCGTCAATTTTACGAACGGGGCACCGGAGTACCTCCGGGTCATCCCATGACATTGGTTCTCAATGTCATTTGAACATTATTCATTTCCTAAGAATATACTCCCTCCGTCATGGGTCAAATTTGATTTTTATATGGGAGCGTCGCCCATTTTCCTAAGAATATACTCCCTCCGTTTCTAAATATATCTCACATTTTTGCTTTTTTAGCAATCGTGGAAAATTTTGTTTATTTCTACGTTTTTATTGGTTATTTGATAAAATAAATTATTTTTGACACCTCTTATTTCGAAGAAATTTTCATGTAGTTTTTTGATATGTAAGTCTTATTTTTTTATTTCTATACCAATATGTAAATAAAATGAATTGAAAAAACTTGATATTTTACCTCAGTAATACAAATGTGAGATATATGGGTCTGTTTGGGAATAGCGTTAGAGATTAGCGTTAGCGTTTTAGATAATATTTTAACGGTGTAGACTACTTTGAAAACGCTGACCGTAGATAGCCTTTTCAAAACGCTAACGCTAATCTATAAAGATATTCCCAAACAGGCCCATATTTAGTTTGGAACCTATAGATATACCAATGTGAGTATTACCAAGTATTAATCTATGTACTGTGTTTTGGTTCGGAACCTATAGAGCTTGAGTACTCACATTTCACCATTTAGACCTCGTTCTTTAATCACATTTCACCATTTAGACCTTGTTCTTTAATGTTGATAAAATAAAGTTGGATGTTGGAAAGAACTCAAAGAAACTAGAAATAGTTTGTAAAAACTAAAAGAACTTGGAAAAATATTAAAAAACAATGGGAATGGTTGGAAGCTCTATAAATACGGAGAAAGACCAAAATAAGACTAAAACATTGAAAATATACCAAAATAAGACTTTCATTTTTTATTACCAAAATAGGACTTAAATTACCAAACATGGTCATGTATATTACCAAAAAAATATAGTAATGTGCACATGTATAGTGTCACATTACCACAGTGCAAAGTCTTATTTCGAGAAAAAATATGAAAGTCCTATTTTGGTACATTTCTCTATGTTTTAGTCTTATTTAAGATGATTTCTACTATAAATACTTAAGACTTATGTATAATCTCCTAAATTAAATAAGAGTCATCATGTTCATCAAACACAATATATAGTATACGAGGTACTACCTAAGGTCTTACAATGTCTAAATACCACCCGAAGTAGTTTATTTTTTTAGTGATGAAATATTTTCCAAGTTCTTATTTGTAATCTATATATGATTCCTCACGAATATTCCTTAAGAATGATGTAGTGAATATATTATAATAAAAGGAGTGATTATACATATTTATGTTCTCTTTATTTTTTTCAGATGTAAGAGATTCTTTTTACTTGTGATTAAAGAAGTTGGTGTAAATATAATTTTCTTGTTATAAAACAAACTGATAGATAGCTCCATAAGAGCAGTGCATAATAAGAGGTCCATAATAGAGGTAATAAAAGTCTCATAAATATCGAATATTTTGAGAGAATAGTTATAGTCTTGCATTGACGAATATTCTGTTGGGTATAGACAAACCTAGATATGGAAAATCGGTCGGTCAGGTCGGGTTCGGTCACTTTGAGTTCGGGTTATTTTAGATCTGGGTCAATTCAGGTTCGGGATGAGAATAGTATGTTCATGACCAAGTGTCATCGGGTTCGGGTCGACCCAACGGGTTATGACTTTGGTTTTTTAAATTTTCAAGTTCACATTAACACTTACTTTTTCTGTTAAATAAATTCAAAATATCAAAAAATATGTATTAAATCTATTAGATTATTCTATTTTAAATTTTGAATTTTTTTTAGATATATAAGTCAATATAAGGAATTTAAAAAATGCTTAAGTTTTAGAAAAAAGTAAGATAATTATACAATATTATTAAAATTTTATCTGAAAATATAAATTTATACATTAAACACGAGTCGTCTAGTGTATGATTTTGAAAAACTCTTACTTTAGAGGGTTGGTCAGGTCGGGCTCGGGTTCGGTCGGAGTTGACCCTTTTTTAACAGGTCATTTTGGGTTCGGTCAACTACGGGTTCGGTCATCAAAACCTTTGTTCAAAACCCACTGTTTTCAGATCGGGTTTCAGGTCAAAAACAGGTCGGGTCATTTTTTAACAGGTGTAGACAAACCCTTATGGTTTAAGGAGTCTCTGTTAAAATTATTAAGATATTAATCGAAATGAATATTATATGAAACTTGATCAAGATTTGTTTTAACGTAAACCAGAAATTTATTGAACTAATTTTAATTTTAAACATAACCAATTAAACTATCCTGATTTAGTTTGTGAAGTGAAAAAAAATCATTAAGAACTCAAGTGAGTACTTTTTGAAGAACCAGAAGTTTCTGGTATTGTTGGACCCATCAATTATTCGTGATGACAAATTTAAATGTTATATATGATATGATGCATCGTTATATTTACCATATTTGTTGACTATTAACTCATAACTCGAAGTTAACAAGATCCGTTCTGTAAAAGGAAAGAGAAGATTGAGAAGATTTGGGAGATATTTTCGTATATTCCGTATATATTATTTTAGTAGTTTCCTTGTATACTGATTCCTTTTCCTTTGTTAACCAGGATTCTCCACTATATATGGATCCCTTGATTGTATATTGAAAACATAGAAAATAATACAAGAGAATTTTCCTCTCAAACAATTCTTTCATGGTATTAGAGCCAAAACTATAGGAATTTCCGTGGTTACTATTCACGATCACCCGGCATCGCGTCCATCGATCGTTGCTTGTTGTTGCTGCCGAGAAGACTGGAACGGTTGACCGTTCTTGCATAACGGTCAAAGGCATCGACCGTCCCGACGGCAGTATCTTCAATTGTTGCTGTTTTCGATCCAAATCTTGAACTTTGTCATCTGGTATGTCTGAAGAAACACCTATGAAGATAATTTCCAGCAAGAAGAATGAAGAACGAGAGGAGGAGGAGGTTGGGGTGCGACGTCGTCGTATCTCCCCTTACGATTTATCTCCGAGCGACAATCCGGGTATGATTTTGACCCATGTCATTCTCAAGGGGGATAATTATGATGAGTGGTCCAAATCTCTGCGTTTGGCTCTTCGAGCACGCAAGAAATTTGGATTTGTTGATGGGACAATCGAGATGCCTGATCCTGAAGATGAAGATTTTGATGATTGGTGGACGAATCATTCGCTATTGGTCTCTTGGATTTGGAACACGATTGATCCAACCCTGAGATCGAGCATATCATTCGTGGAGAAAGCCTTAGATATGTGGAGTGATCTGAAGGCCCGCTTCTCTGTGGTTAATGGACCGAGGGTTCAGTAGCTGAAGCGGGACTTGGCGGAATGCAAATAGAAGAATCTTTCCGTAATGGAATATTATGGGAAGATGAAGAAGCTATGGGATGATCTAGCAGATTTAGAGCGTTTTCCAACTTGTACGTGTAGGAATTGCATGTGTGATTTGCCAGAGAAACTTACGTAGATGCGTGAGAGGGAACGCTCTCATCAGTTTTTGATGTGTTTGAACGATGCTTTGTATGGAGCTTTGCGGTCAAACTTGTTGGCCCAGGAGATTATACCACCGGTGGGAAGAATATACAATATTCTTGTCCAAGACGAGACAACACGAAATGGTATGCACAAAGGAGAAAGCAGTGAAGCAAGTGCATCCGTGTTTGCTGTGAAGAATAAGATGGAGGTCAAAGAGCTTGTGTGCAGCCACTGTGGGAAAACAGGACATGAGGTCGAGGGAGGCTACAAGCTAATTGGGTACCCCGAAGGTTGGGTGTTCCGCGATCAGGCTGGAAGAGGAAACGGCCGAGGAAAAGGTCGTGGGACTGCACGGGACGGCGGACGGTCGACCGCGGTGGCTGGACGGTCAACCGTCACGGGCGGACGAGGCGAAGCTCATGCTGTTCAAAGAGAAGAAAAGGGACCGTCTCTGCTGCCAAACTTTGAGGATTTGACACCTAAACAGTGGAATGCTGTTCATCATTCCCTCTCGCTCTCCCCTATAGACAACTCACCAAAACTCTCAGGTATTCCTGTGTCACCTCGTTGGGTAATTTATACTGGTGCGTCGAATCATATGACAGATGACCTTTCATTATTATATGATGTGGTGGGTGTGTCTCCGTGTGAAATTGGATTACCCGATGGAAAAAGGGTTGTGTCTGTTCAATCTGGAAAGGTTGATTTGACTATGACTATGACTTTGCAGAATGTATTGTTTGTTCCAACCTTGAATTGCCATTTGATTTCCGTGTCACAGTTGACAAGAGATATAAACTGTGAGGCAAAGTTCACCAATAATTTGTGCATCTTACAGGACCTAAGTTTTAGGACAATGATTGGTCTGGGTAGACTTGAACGAGGATTGTACTATTTGAAGAAGGAGGAGAGGAGCATGGCGTGCAGTGCTGCTAAGAAGAATTCGTTTGATCTTTGGCACAAACGTCTAGGACATCCTTCTTCACATGTTTTGTCCTTAATTCCTGTAGTTGGTTTGAATAAACATAGTCATAGTCATTGTGATGTCTGTTTGTGTGCTAAACAAACTCGTGCTGGTTTTCCCATCAGTTTTCATCAATCTATGGATAAATTTGATATGGTGCATTGTGATTTATGGGGTCCTTATCGGACACCAAGTTTGGATGGTTCTATAATATTTTTGACTATTGTGGATGATTTTTCACGTGGTGTGTAGGTATATTTGCTTGATTCTAAGCGTACCGTAGGAGGTGTTTTTAAGCAATTTTGTGCCATGGTTGAATGTCAATTTGGGAAGAGGATAAAGTGTGTTCGAAGTGACAATGGTACAGAATTTGAATGTTGGACAAAATATTTTCTAGAAAAAGGAATTGTTCGTGAGACATCTTGTGTGTCTACGCCACAGCAGAATGGTAGAGTTGAACGTAAACATCGGCATATTCTGAATGTGGGTCGCGCTTTGAGATTTCAGGCAGGGCTTCCGATCAAGTTCTGGGGAGAGTGCATACAAACGGCGGCATATTTGATCAACCGGACACCCTCGTCTCTTTTAGGGGGGGTTACGCCGTATGAAAAACTTTATGTAAGGCCCGTGCACTGACTGATATTCGCATTTTGTGGTTGCAGATGCTACGTTTACAATCTGAAGAGAGATGGAGATAAATTTGCGCCCAGAAGTATTCCTGGAATATTTTTGGGTTAACCACAAGGAAAGAAGGGATGACGCGTATATTTTCCAGACATTGGGAAGATATGCACGTCACAGAAATGTTGTGTTTCTGGAAAACATATTTCCTTATTTGATGTCTACAGGTGAAATATTAAATGAAGATGGATCGAGTAGCTCCACTTCAGTTGATCACTTTGACGATGATGATGAAGTGCCTGCGGAAGATCAGTCGGACCGTCCCACGTGGAATGGTCGACCAGAAGAAGGAGACAATGCAGCTGAGCTACAGGCGGTTGACCTGGTGGACCGTTCTGACTGTCATCAAGGCAGAAAGATGAGTCCTTGGGAGATCAACCAACGGTCGACTCTGTGGACCGTTCTGAGAGACACGGTCGACCGTTTGAGGGGCAGAGAGACAGAATCCAGGGCGATGAAGAAACGGTCGACCGTGATGAGAACAACGGTCGACCGTCCCCAAGGCAGAAAAGGAGGCAGTGAGGAACCGTCACAGACGGTCGACCCCGTGGACCGTTCCACGGATGGCGGTCGACCGTCCTCTTCCCAGCAAGCAACAGAGACCTTAGGGCGTGGCCAACAGGAAAGGCGACCAAATGTGAGGTAGCGGACTATGTTACACATGTGGCCGGTCCGCTTATTGAGGGAAAGTGTAGATATCCGCTCTCCTCCTATGTTACTTACGAGAAGTTTTCTGAGAAACATAAGTGTTTTCTCATGGCACTTGATGAAGACATCGAGCCTAAAAACTTCAAACACGCAATCCAGGATGAGCGATAAAGGAAAGCCATGCGAGAAGAAATTGATGCTTTGGAGGCTAATGCGACGTGGTCTCTTGTTCATCCCCCACGTCATAAGAAGGCTCTTGGATGCAAATGGGTGTATAAAATCAAGCGCAAGTCTGATGGCAGTGTGGAAAGATACAAGGCTAGGCTTGTTATACTCGGAAATCACCAGGTTGAAGGAATCGATTACAAAGAAACATTTGCTCCAGTAGTCAAGTTGACTAGTGTGAGAACTCTCTTAGCAGTTGCAGCGGTCAAAGGGTGGGAATTGCACCAAATGGATGTTCACTATGCATTTCTACATGGAGATCTTCACGATGAGGTGTATATGAGGTTGCCGCCCGGCTCTCGAGTTCGTCCAATATGGTGTGCAAACTCAAGAAGTCTCTGTATGGCTTGAAACAGGCTCCAAGATGTTGGTTTGCAAAATTATCTGGAGCATTGCGAAGATATGGATTTGTGCAGTTCGTTTGCGATTACTTCTTATTTTCTTTCGTTGGAAAGGAAGGAGTGATACATGTTCTGGTTTATGTAGATGACTTGATCATTGCTGGTGATAGCACCGAGATGATACGCAAGTTCAAGGATTATTTGGCAGATTGTTTTCGTATGTAGGATTTGGGGACTTTAAAGTTCTTTCTTGGCATCGAGGTAGCACGAAGCACATGTGGGATTTTTCTCTTCCAACGAAAGTACGCCTTAGACATCATTACTGAGGCGGGGTTGTTAGGCGCCAGACCGTTGGGTGCTCCGATGGAGCCAAATAATCACTTGGCTCGTTCCCAAGCCCCAGTTCTTGCAGACCCAGAACCATATTGACGGTTGGTAGGAAGATTGGTCTATCTTTCTGTTACACAACCAGAGCTTTCTTACGCCGTGTATACTTTAGCACAATTTCTAAAGGAACCAAGGGAGGATCAGTGGACTGCGGCACTTCAGGTAGTCCGTTATTTAAAAGGATGTCCTGGACAGGGCATTTTTCTCTCTGTCGATAGTAGCCTTCAGCTTACAGGGTGGTGTGATTCGGACTGGGCAGCATGTCCTTTGACACGACGGTCGCTGACGGGATGGTTTGTACAACTTGGCGAGTCGTTGGTCTCGTGGAAGACGAAGAAGTAGACAACGGTGGCTCGTTCGTCTGCTGAAGCTGAGTACAGGGCTCTTGCTGTTCTTACTTGTGAGTTGAAGTGGTTGAAGAATTTATTACGATGTTTAGGAGTTGAGCATAAGGATCCTATGACGGTTCCTTGTGATAGTACCGCAACGCTTCACATCGCTGCTAATCCCGTTTTTCACGAACAAACGAAGCATATTGAGATAGATTGTCATTTCGTTCGTGATGAGTTATTGCGAGGAGAGATCCGTGCTCTTCATGTTCCCCCTTTGCACTAGCTTGCAGATATTCACATGAAGGCACTTGGGAAGTCATTACTGGAGTTTCTTATACCCAAGTTGGGCATTTCTTCGTTACATGCTCCAACTTGAGGGAGATGTAAAAGGAAAGAGAATATTGAGAAGATTTGAGAGATATTTTCGTATATTCTGTAGATATTATTTTAGTAGTTTCCTTGTATAGTAATTCCTTTTCCTTTGTTAACTAGGATTCTCCACTATATATGGATCACTTGATTGTATATTGAAAACATAGAAAATAATACAAGAGAATTTTCCTCTCAAATAATTCTTTCACGTTCATATGTTATATTATGGATATAATTTCTATATTATGTTGAACATCATTAGTCACAAAAAAGAGCCTACAGCTCTAGTTAATATATAAAATGTCTAGTAAACTTTTTTTACCAAATGTCTCTAATTGGTTGCTAGACCTTTGATTATGAGAAAAGAAAAAAAATATCATATATTGATTTTTTAGTCCTCATATGTGTTGAGATGCATTAGAGCGGATGCTTGAGGGGCTTATTCAAGACATGTTATCTACTTGCCAAAATCGTAGGTAGACACTAAAGGGGAAGGTTTTTGAAGGAGATGAATGGAAAATAAATTGTAGGTAAACACTAAGGGAAGGTTTTTGAACAGCAATTTCTTGGAAGTCGACTGAGCGAACACGAACAACAACATCAAATCAAGACGAATTGATAACATTATACAATAATGATCGAGAGCGGGCATGGTCGAGATTGATGATCAATCCCATACAAGGAGCATGCGGTTTGGAAGAAATCAAGAAGAATGCTATGATTATATATGAAGACAATGCAGCATGCATAGCTCAAATCAAGGAAGGCTACATCAAGGGAGACAGAATGAAGCAAATCTCATTGAAAATTTTCTCAACATTTGATCTGCAGAAAGAAGGAGAAATCGATGTTCTTCAAGTTAAATCAAGCAAAAATTTGGCAGACTTATTCACTAAATCTCTGCCTATACATAGTTTTGAGCAACTCATAAAGAAAATTGGACTTCGTAGGCTAAAAGAGATAAATTAGTTTGAGGGGGAGTATAATTTTATTTTGAGGGAAAATATTATACACATTGTACTCATTTGATGTACTTGGGAAGTGCATGGTCATGCCAAAATAAATACGTTATTTGAATCTCACAAGTCAATCGAAGAATCAGTAAACTATCGATTTAACTCTAGCAACACCCCAAACCTTGTGTTAAATTAAAATATCAGTGACAAAGGGATAAGAATGATACAAATGAGATGTGTCATTGAAGAAATCGTTCCAAGAGCTATATATATATATATATATATATATATATATATATATATATAATTTGGGGGTTATAATGTGTTTCTAGATATCGTTTATAACTTATAGTATCTAATAAATACTATGTCAAATATAATTAATAATAATAATGTGTATATATATATGGATATATATAATATTAAATTGTTTATTATTTTATTGTTAATGTAGTGCATAAAATTTTTGGACATTTCAATTATATGAGAATTAAGTTTATCAAATATTAATTAAGGAACAAAATATAACATTAATATATTTTATTTATATATATGTGCGTGTATATATATACATATACATATACATATCTATGCATACCTACATACATACATAGACACACACACACACACATACATATACACATATACATACATACATACATACACACACACACACACATATATATACATATTCGTTTTATATATAAATAAATATATTTATATATATTTAGGATATGTATAAAATGTTATATTATTTATTTTGTGTTAATTATATGATAAATTAAAGTTGACAAAATAAATTGGAAGGTTTCTTAATGGGTATTTTGAAATTACCTAAGGAAAGTAGGAATGAGATTTGATTTTCTTTCTTAAACATTTTCATTAGGAATAGGAATGGGGATTATGCTCATTATAAATAGGAGATCATCCCACCCTTTTTCTACTACTAGAATTTCGGCCCTCTCACCAATTTAAGAGACAAAATATTGTTTTGTTCTCTTAATACTTTACACCAAATATTTTATATTTTAGAAATATTCTAGGGAATTACTAGCATAAGTTTTCTCTAAAACGCTTTTCGTAGTTTGTGTGTCTCAAATGGAGGTCATATAATTTTGTGGCTAGCTCTTGGACCAAACCTTTCAACCATACATATTGTTGCTTGCTCGCCAAGAAAGGTATAATTTTCTTACAATAACTTATAATCTTCATAAGAGGTCTTGGGTGAAAACAACGTTTGGAAATTAAATTTTTGTTTTCCGCTGCCATATCTAAGTGTGGTTTCCCAACAAAACCAAAACTGATAATTAGCGTCGAACGCCGATAATCAATGCCGAAAATCAAAGGTTATGGTTTTTGAAAACTAATCGTTTGGAAAACTTTTAAATGCGTCCAAAAGAAAAAATAAAGATAAAAACTCAAACGACATTTGGCTAAAACCAATGCCAATATGCAAGAAAAACCAAACGCCGGTAGCCGGTGATTATGGTTTTGGTTGGGCAAAGACCAAATATTTTTTGAAACTTAAAACCATTTGTGAAAACACTTATGTGATGCATGAAAAATTATTTTGTATTGGGCCAAGACTTAGAGGATCTAAATGAGCTTGTTACAACAAAAACCCAAGTCTTTAGACGTGTTCGAAACGTCAATGTCATCATCTTTAGAAACTTAACGCCTTTCTTGTACTTTTTATTCCTTCAATGAACTTTTGCTATACCTTTGAAACTTTTTATTTTATTCTATGTTCCCCGTGGTTTCTCAATATCAAAACCTAAATGGAAACAAGCATTATCATTAGAAAAACGTCAATGTGAAAACATTTTCCAACATCCTCGAGTTCGAAATCAAAACCCCTCGCAAACATATATCATGTACCTAGATTTAAGGAGAGAGGAGTGCTCGAATCTTTACCCTTGTGGCAGAGTTTACTTATAAGCCTTCCATTTAGGTGGACAAGAGTTCTTTTTGTTAGCACATTGCAACATGGATCAACTGAGTCAGTTCTCCTGCTTTGGGCTTTTCTTGGGTATGCACAAGAAAGGAGGATCTGGGTCGTTTGCGGTCGACTATGAGTTTGGAGCTCGGACGAAGGGGACAGAGGAGTATGTGGGCAAGTACAAGAGGAACTACAAATGTAATGGTGGGAAAGCTGTTGGGTATAAGAACTTGTTTGGGGAACAATGGAGTGCTTTTGTTGCTTAGATAGCCCCTCATCAATGGAATTCTCCATCTTCGCTTCGAGCTCACAATCCATCCTACAATGAGAGATTGAAGAAGGCATTTTTAAAATGTGGATAAATTCTTCCGTGGTCTTTATGTCTACATTCATTTTATAGACTTTAGTATATCAACATCATAAAAGAATTGATCATTTTGCAACAAAGAAAATATATTTATATTCGACTATTAAAAATATGAGAATGTCGACATTTCACATGTAGACTTTAGAATTACTGAAGCACAAATCTTTTATGTGGTTCTCCCCTATCGATGTGTCATGTCTGTATATTGGGACCGGCCCAAATATGTATAGTGAATTAAACTCAACATACCCGGTTCGTTCCACGGTTAAAATTTTACTCAAGCCTAGACCATTGAAGCTTACACACTTGGTATGTTAACACTGTCTAGTACGTCCGTGTGAAATGGGTCGGCCTAACCCATTCAAAAGTAATATTAGAAGACAAGAGATTGATCCTCAGTTTCTTTTCCCATAGATCTCCCCTCGGTTGGGCAGTCTTTTGATCTTTAAAAACATAATCTTTCTTGCCCGGAGAAGAGATTGCAATGTTGAAGTACAAAGTGTATATCATAGCTTCTTCCCTCTCTCATATACTCCGTTGTTATATACTCTTACACGCATTACTCCCTCTGTCTCTATATTTCTTTCTTTAGTTTGAATTTTTTTTATCGAATTTTTCAAACTTTGATCACAAATTACAGAAGAAATACATTGAATTATTATATGAGTTTGATTTTATTAGATTAATTTTGAAATATAATATTTTTTTATATTACTCCATACACAAGTATATTAAATATAGATATTAATGGTTAAATTATTGTATTGGGATCATGAAAACTTAAATAAAAAAGAAATTTATAGACCGAATGAATATATCATTACCTATTAAGAGAAGTCAATAATTGTACTGAAAAAGCCAATACTCCCTCTGTCTCAATGTCTTTCTTCTAGTTTTCTTCTAGTTTGATTTTTCCAGTTAAACTAGATGAACTTTAACCATCGATTGTGGCCTTACAACACCACAAGGGCCATGAACCATATAGCCGCTAACTTCCTCATACTAATGTGGATCTATTATCTTGCCAAGGATTTCTACACATATTACTTTATCAATGTCATTTATTGTCAATTCAGAATATTTTTTGTGCATGAACAATAACACATGCGCATGGGGCAACCCACGTATTTGAAACTCAATAGTGTAAATTGCTGCATTAAATAGAAATGAAGATGATTTTAAAAATTATAAATATTTAGTAGATGTTTGAAACTCAATAGTGTAAATTGCTGCATTAAATAGAAACGAAGATGATTTTAAAAATTATAAATATTTAGTAGATGTAAGAATAAAGTTTTGTTTAGTAAATACCTGCTCGAAAATTGCCAATTTAATTTTACCAAATATCTTTGATCAACATAGCCAACTTTACCTTAAAAATACGAAAAACAATGTGTGGACAATCTTTAGGGGCTAAACCTAGGGCTAGGCTGGGAAAATTTAAAACCGCAAGTTGAACCAAAACTGATCGAAAGGAACTAGAAAAAAAAATTGAACTGAAACCAAATGTACAAAAACCGAATCGAGTAGTTATTATTTGGCTCTATATGTCCTTGCATCGTTTTGCCTACGACCTACAAGCTTTAGTCTAACATTTGAATGCTTACCATCGCGATCTGTTATATGCTCACTAGCCATTCGAAAAGACTTTGCTAAACTATTGTGCTCATTCAATAAATCTTGCAAGTCCCTTACAATGTCATGATGGAAGTCGCGCGATCCGGAGCATTGAATACTGCAAATCAATTTTTTTTTGAAATAATCGTAATATCTAACTTTAAAATGAAAACGATATGCACACATTATATGGTCATTACTTACCGATTCGATTGAATTCGATTATTCACCTCATTCAATATGTCATATATATAATTGTGTAAATCTGGGCCCTTTTCCTTCAGAGGGTAGCAATGTCTCGATTTTGCAATGATTTTTTGACCATGTAATTTGAATACTGGCGGAGCAGTACCATCATTCAAACTATAATCGATATCTCCGTCCATTGAAGTGAAACAAAACATATTATTGTATGTGCGAATATTTTGTCCAAAATGTTTGCTTTTTGTGTCATTCCCAAAGTAAAGGTCAAACAACTTTTGGGGCGGAGTCAATGACAGTAAAGAGGAGTCTCATTGGAACCCCACCGTATAAAGTTCTATATCTCTATATTATTAAAAATGTCTCACAGAAGGCCCATGGATATGGGGAGTTTGAACTGGCAAAGTGGAAAGAAATATGATTTCACCGGCACAAGCTCCCCATATCCACGAACCCTCGAGAGTGGACATGTTTTACTGCATCCTCAGCAGATAGTACTTGCTGCACTTGGCTCCAGTACTAGTTCCAAACAATCAAAACCCAAACGTGTAATCCCTCCCTATTATGTCCACTGATAGAGAAACATGAACGGAGAATAGATTGATGAGCTTAGGTATGCTATATGGAGCCTTAATCCAAAAATAGTGGTGCTGGCGCTGAGGGGTATAATGGAGAGTTTTATTAACAATGTTAGGAGGTGATCAAACCAGATTTGGTGAGAGCAACTCAAGAATACTTTATGGGGGTGGATACTCAGGAGGCTTATGGGAGTACATTCATAACTCTCATTCCAAAGGAGTCCTGTATTGGTGAGCAACAATAGACCAATTTCGCTAACAGGTTTTATGAGTAAAGCTATCACGAAGATTTTTGCTAATAGGCTGGCACTCTGGCAATATTATTACCAAAGTTAATTTAGGCAGAACAGGCCGTCTTTCAAAGGGACAAAGGTATGCAAATTTTACTAACTAATGAGTTGATTCATCATATTGATAAAGCAGCTAGAGGCGGTAACATGCTTATTAAACTAGACATGGCCAAAGCTTTTGATAAAATATCAAGGACTTATTTGGAAGCAATTTTGTCTGCATTCGGCTTTTCTTCTAAAGTTATCCAGTTATTAATGGTGAATATATATGGAATTTGCATGTCTTGACTGGTTAATGGGTATTTCCAAATGAAAAGAGGAGTGAAACAAGGAGATCCCCTTTCCCCTCTCATTCATTCTGGGGGTAGAAGGTTTCTCAAGAAGCATTAAGAAGGCTGTTGAAAGCAGACCTATCAGTCCTTTCAACTCTGACAAAAAAAACATCTCTCACTTAAGCTTTGCTAATGATCTCATCATTTTTTAAATGTCAGAACTCTTTTGAGATTTAAGAATTTATTAAAGGAATATTATGTTGCTACAAGGTAAGACAGTAATCATGCTACGTCCAGATTCTATTGTGCTGAAAGGATTCCTGCTAATGCTAAAGGTAGAATGGAACGAGCTTCGCATATTAGACGTGGAGCTTTACGTTTTGCATTTATAGGAAGGAAACTTCTCTTTCAAAGAGGCTTTTAAAGCAATAACATCTCAACCTAGCAGCCCTCTTATGCATAAATTAGCTTGGCATAAATATCAAATTCCAAAACCTAGACTTTTTACTTGGAAGGTCCTTCACCACTGTTTGCCTTTCCCTAACACACAGCAAAAGTTGAATTTCAGTCTGCCTAGCATGGCCCTGAAATGCAGTAATGAGGAAGCTATAAATGACAACTCTCTCCTTTACTGTGGATATTCACTACAGGTCTAGAACCACTTTGCATTTCTACTTGATGAACCAAGATAGAGAAATAGTTTTACTTTAAATCAACACCTTTTAGAGTGGTGGTTTACACACTCAAAGAGGAACCTTAAGGGCAGTCTTCGCCTCATTACCCCTTGTATTATTACTTGGAGCCTTTGGGAAGACTACAATAGATATCTATGATGGAATAACATCTCCACCTAGGTTTATTATTCAAGAACTCAAGCATAACATTCAAATCTGGTTTTGGGGAAACAAAAGAGGAAAAAATACCTGACAGATGCATCTTTTTCCACTTTTTGGAGTTGGGCCTCTTGATGGTACTTCTTTGTTCATTTCTTGTAATTGGGCCTTGAACCCCTCCTTTGTATATTCCAATCTTGAAGGAATAAAAAGGTAATGCATTAAAAAACATATATGAAAAAAGTACCAAAGTCATGTGGAAATGTGAAAATATGTAGAGTGATGGATGTATTGAGCACTATGGAAATTGACCGCATCAGCTCATTTGCATCTTTCAATCGTGTCACATACATTAACTTGAACTTTTCTTTTCGTTTTGCCTTTGTTTTTCAGTTGTAAAGAACTTCATTAATTCCCCAAATGTGGATAAACTCATTGCAGCCTTTGAGAACTTTAGAGGACTAAGTACTATGTGTAGTTGCATGTTTAGAAGTAATTAATCACTGGATTTTCCTAATGGACGTTATGTGATGACGAGTTGTAGTTCACAATACGCATATTTCATAAATTATTTTGTAGTAAGTTTTGCTCTTTATTTATTATTAAAATATTATATAAGTTTCTCATTGAATTATGAAAATTGACAAACAGAGATGCACTACTTGGACTTCTTTTGTAGCGACAAATTTTTGAAGATAGTGGGTCATCTCAAAACAGGAACCACACTATTCATGATCTTAAATTTTGTCCAGATGGTGACTTGTCACAATTAAGTGTTCATGCTACAACACTAACTTTATTTTTATAATACAACTAGTACATCAACCTAAATCTAAATATGGTCCGAAGGGTATAATTATGCATGTTGCATGGTGTACAAATAATTTAAATTCCTAATTGTTTTTTAGAGCGAAAAAAGTACTAATGGGCTGTCTCATGTTAATTGTTTTATAGAAAAAAAATACAATTATATCTTTTTCAGGCATTGCTATTAATTGTGAACTGATCCATGACTAATTACTACTAGACATATTTAATTGATTTATGACTTTTTTAGTAGTTTTGGAGAACCAAATATTTCACGGGATCAAACATTGGACATATTTATTCAGGTGGTATATATCTTGCATTTGATCCATTTTAATGCTTTGTTTAAACCATTAGAAATCTATGACTTTAAACCAGAAAACTTTTTGTTAGAGGTAATTTGATAAGAGAGATAAATCTAGCAGGATGACATGATACGAATTTGTGATTTGGCAAATAGTTTTTTGTTGAATAATTAGTTTCATCTATGTTTGTGCAGGGTGACAAAATACGGATTTGTGATGTCACTGCACTCTCCAAAGCCAACGGAAAATAGCAAAGCAATATGTGGATACTTATTATAAAGGTTAATGATTCTTGACATAGTTATACAGCGTTGGTCTCGAGAATTTTATACCTCAGGACGAGATGGGAAAAAAACCTTATATTTTCCTATTACATTATTTTATATCACTTTTCTTTTGAAATACGAAATGCTAAGTTATGTTTAGCCAAAAACATCACTAGTGCCATGATTTTCAAAAGGACTTATTTCCAGTAATCTCTTTCTTTCTTGAGTTGCTCGTATTAAGTTTATCAATTGATTCGTTCAACTGAATCTTCTATGCATACTCTTCAAAGGGAATGGTGCCAATCTAAAAAATATCTGAGCGACCTTTTGGAGGAACGTTTTCTAAACACTTTACAATAGAAACAAAAAACCTTGTCTAGCTCTTTCGAATATACTAGCCATTCTCTATCACATTTCTCCAAATTTGATAATTTTTTTGTATATAAAGCTGTAGAAAAATGTCTACCATTATGTCCATCTTTGTCGTAGGGATTATACATAATACTAGTATCTCTTTAAAGACAATTCTCGACTAAAAGTTTAATCTAGTCAGAGTTCAGACCTTCTCATCTTCTTGAATTAAATATAGCAACCAAAAGTTTAATCTCAACATGTTCATGAGCTTGTTCCAAATATTCTCGCTCTACTTCCATGTGTTCTTTCACCTCGAGAATAAATCCATGATGTTGCGAGAAGAGCAAGAAAACTTTGTGGTAAAATAGCACGTGAAAGTAGATCAACAACCTTTAGAAGAGGCAGAAGAACATGTTGAGATTAAACCTTTGATTGATATATTTGATCCAAAAAAATGCGAAGGACTTAATTCTAACGAGATAAAACTTTTGGTCGAGGAATGTCCTAATAGAGATACTAGTATTATGTATGGTTATGTTCGATCCCTACGACAAAGATGGACTGAGTGTAGACATTTTTTGCAACTTTATATGTCAGAACTTTAGCAATTTTAGAGAAGTGTGATAGGAAAGCTAATATTTTCGGAAGAGCTAGACAAGGTTTTTGTGTTTGTTGTGAAGTGTTTAAAAAAGGTTCTTCGAAAGGTCACTTAGATGGTGAAAATTGTACAAATTGGCACCATGCTCTCCCAAGAGGCAAAAAACACACAATTTTCTTGGATTATCTCACATATATGAAAAGATAGTTTGATATGAGTAGAAGATTGAGTTGAACAAAACAGTCAATAAACTTCAATACGAGCAACTCAAAAAAGAATGATTTCTATACTAGAAACAAGTCCCTTAAAAAGTTTTTGGGTAGATATTGTTTAGCATTTCGTAGTTCAAAAGAAAAGTTGTATAAAAAATGTAATGGTAAAACATAAAGATCCATTTTTCGTGCCTCGTATTGAGTCCTAAAGTTCTTGGGACCAAAACCGTGTATAATTATGTCAGAAATCATATCCCTTTAATAAGGATCAACATATGGACTAGTATTGCTTTGTTCATTACCGTTGGCTTCGGATAGTGTTGTAAGATCACAAATCCATATCTTCTCACCCTACACAAGTACACATGTAACAAGTTATTCAACAAAAACTATTTTCCAAATAAAAAATCAGTATCTTATCATCCTACTGAATTTCTCTTTCTCACCAAATTAGTTCTAACAAAAAGTTTTCCAGTTTAAAGTCACATATCACAAATTGTCCAAACAAAGCATCAAAATGGATCAAATGCAAGTTTATGCCACTTCGATCAATATGTCTAATGTTTGATCCTCTGTAAATTTGGTTCTCCAAATCCATTATTATAGTCATAAACACATTAGATAAGTCAAGAATATTAAATCATGAATCAACAGACAATTAAAATCAATGCCTGAAAAATACATAATTGTATCTTCATAATTCACTTCACATGAGATAGCCAAGTAGTACTCTTTTCCCACTACAAAATAATTAGAAATTTAAATTATTAGTACATGCAACATCTAAAATTATACCCTCTAGACCATATTTAGAATTGATTAATGAACTAGTTGCACTATGAGAATAAAGTTTGTGTTGTAGTACAAACATTTATTCGTGATAAATCACCATCTAGACATCTAGACAATACTTTAAAATCATGAAACAATGTGATCTATGTTTTGAGGTGACCCACCATCTCCACAAACTTGTTGCCACGGAAGTAAACCAAGTAGTGCATCTTTGTCTGTTAAAAATTCATAATTTGATGAGAAACTTGAGCACTATTTTAAAGTTAAATAAAAAACAGGTAACTTACTATGAAATAATTTGTGGAATATATGCATTGTGAACAATAACTCTTCACCACATAATGCCCTTCAGGCAAATCCAATGGTTGTCCACCTCTAAACGTGCAATAATGCACGGTCCTTAGTGCTCTAGAGTTTCCGACAGAGACAATGAATTCATCCATATTTGAGGAATTCGTGAAACTCTTTACCACTAAAAAAACAAAGGCAGCACAACATTTGGCACAACTGAAAGACGCAATTAGGGTGATGATGTCACCTACAACAATTGAGACCTCAATCTTAACAACTGAGTCAGGATATCATTAGCTCAAGTATAAATTATTTATCTATTCATGGAGAGAATGCTTTTCAAACATTGACCATAGCAAAGAAGCAAATAAATAAGAAATAGATTATAGATTCACCCCTATGCAACATAAAAAAACTTGCAAGAACTAAATCTAAGAGACATGAAATAAGAATACTTAAAGCTCTTGAAGGAAAAGTAAAAGTAATACAACAAAAATACTTCTTCTGTCATATTCTGGTTGTCCACTTTCATTTTTTAGCATTCAAAAATATTACCTGTCCACTTTCATTTTTTAGTATTCTAAAATATTACTTGTCCACTTTCCAAAATCAAGAAAGAAATTATGATGGATTTCTAAAATATCCTAAAGATAGGGTGTGAGTATTGTTGACATTAATGAGTGACAATTGAAGAACGTATTCTTTTCCTTCCCCGCACACACCCACGAGGATCAAAAGTGGTTCTCCAGTTAGGCTGCGTTCTGTTCGCCTGGTCTGATTTTTTGAAGTTCTGATTTGATCTGATTGGATCTGATCTAATCTTATTTGATTGGATCTGATCTGGTTAGGTCTGATTTGATTGAGTCTAATATGATTGGATCTAATATGAATGTGATTAAAATTAAAATTTAATTTAAAATTTTTATTATAATAGTTATAATAATAATAGAAATATTAATAATAAAAACAAAAATAATATTAATACTAATAGTAATAAGAATAATAGTAATAAGAATAGCAATAATAATAATAACTATAATATTAATAATAATCATAGAAATATTGATAATAAAAGAAATAATAATAATAGTAATAATAATAATAGTAATAATAATAGTAAGAATAATAATAGCTATAATAATAATAATTCTAGTAATAGTAATAATAATAAAAATAGAAATAATAATAATAATAATAGTAATAGTAATAATAATAATAGAAATAATAATAATAGAAATAATAATAATAATAATAATAGTAATAATAATAATAATAGTAATAGTAATAGTTATAGTAATAATAACAATAGTAATAATAAATGTAATATTAATAATAATAATAGTAATCATAATAATAATAACAATATTATTATTATTCATATTAATAGGAATAATAATAATAGTAATAATAATAATGATAACAATAGTAATAATAATTATAATAATATTAATATTAATAGTAATAAAAATAGTAATAGTAATAATAAAACTAATAATAATTGTAATAATAATGCATGGTTTTAAAAGGCGACCAAGGTGGTCCGCCGCGAAGCGATGAGGCGGTTGCATTTCGCCTCTGAGGTCACTAGGGATACCTGAGGCGTACGCCTCACAATGTTGAGGTGGTCCGAGGCGGTCTAAGGCGGTAAGGTGTAACCTAGGCGTAAGCCTCACTTTTAGTAAGAATCTCAACAGTTATAAGGGTTATTTTTAAAAAGCTATTGGGCCTCTTTTACAAAAACTCTTTTTGGCCAATGCACTATATAGTTTCTTAAGAAAAACTTAATAAACCTAGTAGATAATTAACACTTCTTTCCAAGACTTTAGCGTCAACTTTCGTCTCTCCATTTGCAACCGTACGTCTCTCCATCTTCAAACTTCAGTGGCACAACTTCACTCTTGTGGTAGCCGCCAAGACAATTACTTCATGCTTAATAGCTTATTTCTATCTCTTTCATCTTCTTACTTTTAACTTTTTCAGTTCCTTCTTTTCCAACATCCCTCTCCCTTTTTTAAATTCGGTTCAAACTTCAAAGATTGATGTAACTTGTTTTGTGTGTGAACTTTTGTCCATATTTAATATTTATAAGGTTTGAAGATGAGTTTGAGACATTTGTGTTTATGTTACTGTGTTTAATCTTTATAATTCTATTTTTTTGTGTTTTAAAAATTAAGATAGGGTATCATTTTTGTAAAATTCAGGAATTATAATTTTATCATTTATTTAACACGAAAATGGATCATGCATTTCGATTTACCTCGGTGTACATACTTTAGTATTATTTTTTTCATGTTGAACTGAGGCTTACGCCTCGTTCTATGTATGTATGTATGTATGTATGTATGTATGTATGTATGTATGTATGTATGTATGTGTGGCGATATGAAGGTACATTGGCGCCTCGCCTTGCCGCCTTACAAACTATGCAATGAAAAAGGAATATACCATTAAAGTAGGTCACTCTTGTCTTATGGGAAACAAAAACAAGAATCCTGGCTATAAGACAGCATGGAATGTATTATCCATCCTCCGTCATCAATTCATCCTCTGGCGCAGATCAAAGAATAAATTACAAACTAAAAAGAAACTTAGTAGGTATATGCACATAGATATTGACCAATATCTTTTATAATAGTCTCTTCCCTAAAAGCTATCCAGGAAGGTGTATTTACCGGACCGGAATACAATTGGGCAACAAGCAACTTCAAGGAGGCTGTCTCTCTCCTATTGAGTATCAAGAACAAGAGTGGAAGATTGACTTTGACTGCTGGCTTTGCAGCAAATTGCTACATCATATGGAAGAAAGAGAATGTTGAGATTCATAGAGGGAGAAAGCTTGGTGTGGAAGATCAGCATTGGATGGAACCAAATCAAATTAGGATTTATATCAATTACAATATGTGTAGTATAGTTCTAAACTAGAGGTTGGGAGTAGCTCAAATTTGGTCCAATACTGGGTGAATAAGCTTTTGCATGTTTGTTTTTGCAGATTGGTAAACAAAAAGTGTTAAATAATGATAAAATTATAACCAAAATAAACATAAAATATTAAAGTATGATTTAGATTGAAAACTATACTTTGATACTCGGTTATTATTTTTCCTTCTCTCAAACTATTCTTTTAAAATATTAAATTCTATTTCGTATATTTATAGTCAATGAACACTCTCTTTGGATAGAGTAAAAGCCATGCTAATTACTACATATTTTCGATCTTACTATATTAGCAACTTTAAGCAGACTACACACGCACACATGCACTAAGCGCGTTGCGTGGAATACTGGAATCTGGTGCTTGATAAAAGTTGTGGGTAGTAAGTTATTGGGAACAATAATGTTGAGTGAAAATTAATGGCAAAAAAAAGAGTTGGAACAATAAAATGATGTATAATTATTATTCCTATTTTTATTAAGATTTGTACAATGTAGATCAAGAGATACTCAACTCATGTCCAGCTTTGTAGACTGGCACCCAATGGGGCTGCTACAAGTTACCTGCAAATAGGAAAATATGGTTTGTTTGCATGATTGTAAATATTACATGGGTAACAATAATTTTAGCACATGGGTAATAATAAAGATTGCATCAGAGTATTACATGGTTGGTTAGAAGATAGAATAATGATTGCATCAAATTATTACATGGGTAACAATAATTTTAGCACTACATTTTCAAGTTCGAAAAAACTTTGAGAGAAAATGGTCTAGCATGGTAGAGCATTATAAGTGATCAAATGAATATAAGTTTCCAACTGATTCTCTTTAAGCACATGCATAGCCTCATCATGTTGGGACACAGTAAAAGCTGGAACTTCACAATTCACGTTGCATTAAAAGAGAAACACTTTGGGTCCAAAAGAATGCAATGTTTTAACATTAATACAAAATAAAAATAGAAAACAAGAAAATTTGCAAACAAAAGTAACAATAGATATAACCATAAAAGAATATTAACGATTTCTTAGGGTCCTCGAAAAAGTTCTATTTTTGCAGAGCATGTCATTCCTATGTTTGGTTGATTTGCTCATGCGTGCATATGAATATCCTTTGTTCTTGCCTCTTGGAATCAGCTTTTTATACATTTTTTTAATCATCTGTATAGAAGCTCACGTCAAATCTAGTAGATGGTGAATGTTAATAAGCACTTGGTATATACTTCAATTGCTTTTGGCACTCCAAATTAAAGGGCAAAAAAAATATAAACATTAAGATCAAAATAGCTGAAAAGAGATTATCAACTGTAATCAAATTTGGTTTTGATGGGATGACTATTTCAAAAAGATTCATTGGAAACAATAGGCATTGCATTGTAGGCTTGAGCATAGATAGTGAATTTTAGTATATTTTCAATTCATTTGTAATATGTATAAATATAGATACATTAACAAGGGAGGACCAAACAAAAGTCCTTGCCGAGGAAATGCGAAAGGCAAAAGGTAAGTTTAGTAGACAATGGGTTTTCAATAGCATAGGCTGCCTTGGTGGATTCAGCAAAAGAGAAATTGCTGAAAATTTAGGCAATCGATACTCTACTTACAATGAAATATGGAAGATCATTGATGCCAAATGAAATCGTCAATTACATCGTGACTTGTATACTGCTCAACTGCTGCATACTACTTGAATCCGAGATTCAAATGGGAGGATGGATTCTCCACCCATTTAGAGGTGAAAGGACTTTTTAGTTGTAGGGAAAGGCTCAACTGGAGCAGAGCTGATTATTTGAAGGCCGACCGTCAACTGGATGAGTTTCAATACAAGCGAAGATTTTTTAGCATGACAGCAGCTCAAAGCTCATATAAGACTCGATTACCAGGTAAATTGTGATTAAGAATCTGTTTACCTTTTTAAATTGGTTGTGTCCTTTATATATAATAATAAAATGAAATATATTATAGTGGAATGGTGGGATCACTTTGGAGATGAAGTTCCAGAGTTTAGAGCTTTTGCGGTGAAGATTTCTGGTTTAACTTGTTCTTCACCATGTGAACGTAATTGGAGCACCTTCAATCAAGTTCACACCAAGAGGAGGAACCGCCTATCAACGGTGAAGCTGAACAGTTTGGTTTTCATAATTTTCAACAAAACATTAAAGTTTCGAAGAAGTCGATTGCAAAAGAAAGAGGATACTTTGGGTTGTGAAGCTTGGTCTTCTGACGATGAGTGTATTGCTGACGACAACACCGGAGGAGATGATGAACTCGCTTTGGATGTTGATGAGATGAATAATGAATTCAGAGGTCAGTTAATATTTTTAAGAATAAGCTTGCAATAAAGTCAATTGATTAGTTGTTTATAATCAAAGTTATGTTTGTAGGAGTAAATGTTACAAATGGCACACATGGAGATAATAATGCAGAGGCTGATGATGGAGATGGAATTGAGGAATCCCTAAAAGATATGGATGATTTTGCTACAATGGATGATGATAGACTGAGTTTTGAGTAGTCTAAAAGATATGGATAATTTTGCTACTTGGAGACTCAAATTGTAGTCTCAAAATGATATCATGAATCATGATTATCTTATTGTTTTTTTTTTCATTTTGCCCCCTTTTTTGCTTTGAATGAAAACTTATGTATTACTTTATGACTTATTTGACATAATTATGGGTTATGCATTTTGTTTACCTAAAAGTTGTTTTCTTTGTTATTTTTTTTCAAGCTTGTTCGGCCTTGAGGCATTTTCCTCTACCGCCTCAAAGCGAGTTTTTGCCTTTTAAAACCTTGTTAGTGGCCACCGCCATTGCCTCCTTACCATCGTATCCCCCCTTCAAGGTGGGATCATGATTAATTCTTTTAGACACCAAAGGGTCAGATTCAGTATTGGCACCGGCAGCGCCAGAATCTATTGTAGTTTCTATAGTTTCTAGAGCAGGATAGTCAGCAACATACGCAGTCATAGTTGGCACAACTATTGGCACAATAGTAGTTCTTGCTTAAGGCTTGAGTATCATAGATAGTATCCCTAGGATGAAGAAAATGGTGTCCATCACCCATTTCAGGCCCCATGAGTTGCACATCATTGAGTGGCAGTTTGCTATCCAACGGGCTGGGAAGGCTATTGTGTGTGATACTTGGCCACTCAATACCAGTAACTCAAATGGATCATGCACTGAACTGGGTTTAGGAGTAACCAGATTTTGGCCCCGCAAAGTAGTAACAGGAACAACATTTGCAGAAGTGTTAAGATTATTCTTATGCCATTCGCATTCACGTTGTCCATGGAGTTCATATTTGTAGGCAAGTGAAAAGGGTCACCAATATCATGTTTAGATTCCCTTCTCGCCCATCTAGTGGAGCTGGTCATTCTTGTGCATGTTTTATGACCAAACTTTCAACAAGTATTGCAGAATACAGAGAGATACTCATAACAAACAGGCTGTAAAAAGGATAGGTTACCTAAATGAATTTAAATGGAGTCTGCAAGGTCCTTAGAAAGGTCCAATTTAACACACTCCCTTGCAAAAGATGGTCTAGAGAGATTCAACATAGCAGCACATTAACATTATATTATTATACACAAATTCCTTAAGATTTAAGATCCAGTTCAACAAAAATCTAACTCTGCATGAGACAAAATATGCAAGAAGGTGGATATAGAATACATAAGAAGCAAGAATGGGTGAAAATGAAATACATTTTCACTACAAAATGATTAGAGAATAATTTATCTAAAAGAATATAGCAAGGATGCATATTAAGGATGACTTTGGGTTTAATAAGATCTATATATTACTCAATGGGTTCTCATTTTAGCCAAACTTTACAATGAAACAAGTTTATAATACCCAAAAAACTGATTGGTTCATGTAGAAATACATCTTCAGATGCTATTTTAAGATATACCTGGAGTATTAATTACGGAGTATGTCATGACCTTATGATTTCTTGTGGGTCAATGCGGTACAATTGACGCCACTGAAATTGAAAGTGTACCGATAGTACATTTCATATATTCGAAGTTCAAGTGATTGGTTGCAATGCTGTCTGTGAAATCCATAAATATTATTTACATTTACAGAGTTGTGATTAATTTACAAAGGATTTCATGATATAACATAAAGATGGCATCTAATTGACTCCACTTCTACTTTTATCTACAAGATGATAAATTTGCAGTTGTCACCTGATTGACTGCACTACTGCAAATTAATCCACATACAAGACGATAAATTTAGGAAGGATTTCATGATTTAAAAAAAAACTGTCACCAGCAACACATATAAGATTTTATTGAAGATCATTTTTTAAAATCCACCTCTGCATCAATTTAAATGTACACAGTCATTGATGAATAATTAAATTAAAATGTGAAAAACTACTGGTAGAAAAATAATAAATTTAACTTCGCGTATGGTTCCTTATTCTTTTGGATTATATCAGTGGTTTTGTTCTATTGTGTTACAAGGGATGAAAACATTGATGTTTCGGGTGATGTTTGAACTGGAAATCTAGAATACAACATTTTGTGGTTTTAAGATGATGAATTTATGAGTGACTTTCAATTCTCCGGGGGGGGGGGGGGGNGGTGGGGTTCACAAAAAAGTAATCCAATTGCTTTTATATTCTAGTTTAAAAGACAGGATTTAAAAAGATAAGAAAAATAAACGTAAATCTAGTTTTGCTCCCTAGGTAAAATTTCTTGAATGGGTGATCCGAAATTCCAAATGTCATTAACCTAGAATACAGCATATATAAGGGTAAAAATATTTATGAACAAACACCATTATTAGAATTCTTTAAATAAAACAAAAGAGGAGAGCATTTAATGCAATTTTCAAGAACCGTGGAGGGGCAAAATAAAAGAATAGTTCTATTAAAGAACTATCATAGAACTTATATGAAAATGTCATTGTCAAAGACATCACCGAATTTGTTGTAGAAGAGATTCAGAAAAAGCATAAAGAATTTGAACCACAAAGAAACGGTGTTCTAAAATGTGAAAAAAATACTTCAAACTCCCACTTTGTAACAACAAACAATATTCCAAAATGTGATAATGTTACCAAACCAGATTTTTTCTAGCAACACTCTTCTTTGTTTATCTAGCATAAGAATCTAATTACATTTTGCAGCATTATCTCAGTGTTACTACATAATCAACTGAGATTTTAGTTCTTCATTGTATCAATTTAAAAAAAAATAACACATGCTATACTTGATTAAATTAAACAAATTGTGCCCAAGCAATTCCATGGGAGACTGAATTTGGGAGAGTTTGAAGAGATGTCTGTTTGTCATCCCTAAATCTGTTAACAACTGTGCCCAAACGAAAATTTAAATACTAACTTGAGGTTAAACAGATGTGGGAGTATATATATTTGAATGCCTATGTAAAGTTAGCATGACTTTATATGGAAACACAATGAAGGCCTAGCTTGATGATGAAAAATTGTTGTGCATATATGACAATTAGAAATATCCTTGATCAATTACTAGGGTCTGGAATCAGTAATACCCAAATGAGTAACCGGCCTGACCTTGCTGATGAACAATTTACTCTGCAAATCTGTGAGAAATGGAAACCAAGGCTTATATGGAGCAGAACAAAATCTAAAGGCTCAGCCATGCCATTGGACAAGATGGGAATAGAAAAATGAAGAACTTTTCTAAGTTTCTAGCCCAAGGTACAAACAAAAACGAGAAAAAGTACATAATATTTGAGGATACTCAAGCATCACATGCATTTATATAGCATAGAAAGATATATATATATATATATATATCAAAAAATCATGCATTTTCAAATGAGAATGATGCACTGTGAAAGAAATGAGAATGCATAGGATCCATTAGATTTAAGATCTAAGGGCGGTTAAAAATCTGAAAATTTTGAAAAAGTCGCGGTGACAATTTCGTAAATAAATTGAACTTTACGAAAATGCACCACTACAAGTGTAAAATGCACCATGAAGCTCTATAAATGCACCATTCTCATAATCGCACCATTGGTGATATCTCATTAACTCGAGATTAGGTTGGGAATGAGATGCCAACTTGAGCCATTGTGTGTGTGTGTGTGTGTGTGTGTGTGGATTTTGATTCCGGTGAGAATGAGATCTTAGGAAAGAAATGAGAATAAATATGGGGCGTTGGATCGGTACATGCTACAACTTTCGCAAGAGGGCTTTTTAGTATTTTCCTCCCAATTTATTAACTTTACGCAATTCCTATTCGGTAAGAGCAGGTCCGTTGAATTCTCTTTCCACATTTCTCTCCCACTTCCAGAAGTAAATTCCGGATTTCTCTCCCACCGAATCAACCATGTTCTCTCTTTCCTTGTTGAAATGGAGAGATCTCTTATCTTCATCCCATACAGTATCTGTAAGAATCCCCATATCACCGTGCGCTGGTCCGGTTGCTATTCAATTTTTATTCGTCGTGTATACATCGCTGATCTTCCATGGATTCAGGTATTTTTTAATCCCTCACAGTTAAGTTGTTTTCTTCATAGACATCTTGGGTTTTTTCCGTGCTAGTGATGCCCGTATTGAAGTGGGAATTTTTCAATTGGATGTGCATAATTATGTTTTCGTTTCTACACCACCCACAGATGATGGGTCATCAATGCAAACAGACCAATCATTGTCCGAAGAGAGGTTTGCTCCACCTTGTCCAGACGAGTCCAAACCTAGGGTCGGTATGCTTTTTCCAAATTTAGAGGATGGAATTGCGTTCTACAATAATTATGCAGCGTTGGCTGGTTTTGACACACGAAAAAGCACCTCAACGAAGTCACGAGATGGTGTTATTGTTTGGCAGTATGTTGTTTGCAACCGAGAGGGTCAAAAAAATGTTTCTTCCATGCCCAGGCCACTAGCACAAGACCGTGAAGATTCAGATTCCATTCCCAAAAAAAAGGAGATGCATCTCAAACCGTGTTGGATGCAAGGCACGTGTGACATTGAGACTATCTGGCATTGTTGGATATTCCATCGTATTTTTCGAAGAACATCACAATCATCCTATGGTGTCCACTCCGTGTAGGCCATTTTTGAAACTGAACAGGAATCTTGATATTGGACACAAGAAATTTATGTTGAATTGTGCAAAGGCTAATATTGGTACAATGAAGTCTTACCGCCTGTTTAAAGAATCTGTAGGTGGTTACGACAATGTTGGAGCTACCGCAGTGGATTTCAAGAACTTTAAGCAAGATCTTAAAGCTTATATTGCTGGTTGACCAACCAATAGCCCAACCTAGCTGGTAACTCAAGGATGTTCATTCCCAACAAAGCCCCAAAACCAACTCTGTTGATGGCTGCACGCTGCACATCATTGAGTTCTTTCAAAGCTTTCGTTATTAAATGGGGCAATGACCTGGATGCTAGTCTCTGGTACGGAGCTTTAATATCTACCAACTTCACCCTTGGCTTTCTCTTGGATGTTTTCGTAACACGTTTCGGCGAGGGATTTTCAAACGCCTCGTCACTGTCCTCTTCATCTATACCTTGGTCCTTGCCGCCTTCACTCTCATCCTCCTCACTGCCACCCTCCTCATCACATTCTTCTTCCGACTTATCATAAACTACATCCTCATCTGACTCTCCATCCGAGCCCTCATTACAATCATTTGACTCATCCTGGCACTCATCCCCTTTTTCCATATCATCTTTATTTGTTTCTTCATCTTCTTCGTCGATATTCATGTGCACAGGTGACATGTTTCGTTGCATCTTCCACAATGCATTCATCAACCTACCACTACGCCGCCTTGGTGTTGTCGATGTCACCGAAATAACACTTCTACTCCCCTCATTCTTTTCTGCATTGGTCACCTCTTTTCCAGCAGCTCCCACTGCTTGAGTTAAAAATATATTAATAACTAATTATAATTTAATCACAGTTATAGTACTTTAAGGAATCAAACAAAATCAATAATACAACCAACTCCAAACACATTAAATGTAAAATACCAGAGCTACAGACAATATGCACTATAAAAAAAGCAACTTCCAACTACGCAATGCACTAATTCCCACAACAACATCATTACATTTCCGGCAAAGATTATAAAGCATCAAAACAACTAAATACTACATGATAACATACTCATGAATGACACAGATGAGATGCACTGCCTATGAGACATCATGCACATACTACATCACACACAGGATCACACATTCCCCCATCCACAGTGCGCATTAACAAACCAACAACCAAAGCATCATTCCCCTCTACGAATGCATCATTCCCCCAAAAACAAACTCCACAAAAATCACATACAATCTGTCAAAAACATGACGCATGACCGAATAAATGCACCCATCAAATTACACCAAACTTGAACAAACCATGAACCCCTTAAAAACCACAATCCACTTATACCCTCATTATGCATACACAATCTATTAAACATGGTCAGAGTGTAATTCACAGAAATCACCCATAATAAAACACGGTGCATTTCCATAATAACATACTTATGATTCACAAAGATGGAATGCATTGCTTTTGAAACATAATGCGCATACTACATCAGATACAGGATCACACTTTCCAAAACAAAACAAAACCCAAGGGATCATTCCTCCCTACCAATGCATCATTCACCCATGACTAAATTCCAAAAACATCATCTACAATCTGTCAAACACATGAGGCATGACCTTAGAAATCCACCCAACAAATTACACCAAACTTTAACAGACAAAGAACCCCATAAAAACCACCATCCACTTACACGCTAATTCTGCATACACAATATATTAAACATGCTCATGCTTTAATTCACAAACATCACACATAATAAAAAAAACATGGTGCATTTGCAGGAAATGCATCCACACCCCACGAATCTGAATCAAATATCACCTACCCAAATCGAAACCCATCTTCCCCCAAAAAAACAATTTCAATCCAAATTCATAAAATAGAGTGCAAAAGAAACACTAACACACACATGCAACGCATCCCATCCACTAAAACCCCAAAAAAACAAACAAACGACACTTGAAAACTTCGTCATCAACTAAAATTACACTAACCCATACCTTGCACAGCATCAGGATGCATTCTGTTGTTCTTACAACTCTTCAAATTCCCAAGATTCTACGCAACCCCACTTGTGGCCATCGTCTACTCATGTTTTTCATGTTTTGAGGATGGTACTCTGCTCTTTGGAAAATCGGAGAAACTTATTTGATGTTTAATGTCTCTGCAGCTTCATGCTTGGTAAGCGGGAAAGGTGGGCTTCGTATAAACAGTCGTATCATTGCGAATCATGATTCCCGATTTTTAATGCAACCCGACTGACAAATTTGTCCTTCAAAGTGATTTTTTCCTAATATAATGCACTACTATTATTACTAACCTAATTTAACATCCGAAATTCTGCTTCAATCACAGCCATCCGATGCATTTAATCCACCCATCCCAATTCATTCTCATTTCTCTCCACAAGGACCATTCTTACAGGAACCGGCCCCTATATATATATATATATATATATATATATATATATATATATATATATATATATATATATATATATATATTTATTTATTTATTTATTTATTTATTTATATAAAGTAATGATCCATTTATTGTTAGCAAAGTGTGGTGTTTTTTTAATTATACAAGCGTTTTTAGCCTGTAAGTCATGATTATTTCAACACACGATGAAGAAATTTAAGTCCATTCCACACATTTGTTTATTATTCGGAGAAAAAAAACACTACTAAAGTAGATTTTCATATTTTAGATAGATTCATTACTTTTATCTAATAAACACAATTTATCACTTACTTTCTTAAAGAATGTTACAACAAAGAAGTGACACTTCTTTTGTGATTCTAGCAAGGTTTGTCTGGGTGATCTATCTCAAAGATGCCAAAAACAAAAGTATGCCAGAAATCACTAATTGTCTAATTATGATGGCTGCTTTCAGCTACTTGAAAATAAATGGAATCAAGTTCTTTGCTAACTACTAAATGCGGATGAAAGCAATATTTAACTCATCTTCGTTTGAATATTTTTTTCATCTTTAATTCAATAAATAACTCTTAATTTATTATGACTTGTGATACTCGATACACTATTTTTCTTTTTTTGCTTATTTATTAGTAAAAGACTCTAATTCATATAAAACAAGAAGAAGCATATAGAAAACATTGATAATGTCATCATGGAAATTGGTGATAATGGCAGTGATAGGCAATTATTAACGATGCCAATCCTAAACTTTTAAATTATGCGAAGAGGAAAAGAATACTGTTATGATTGTGCCATTGTAGAGATATGTTTGCTACAAAATCTACAAAATCCACAACAATCTCAAAGCTTAATATCTTAGAGAGCATATAAAATTGATTGAAGGAGGGGTGATATTAAAACTTCTCTACTTTAACATTTATGTTATGTATTATCGGAAAAATTTTATCATATTTATCTGCACTATTTCATATATATATATATATATATATATATAGACACACACACACATGTGTGTGCATATATACATACATATATATATATATACATACATATATATATATAAAATGCCTTTTTGTAAATTTACATATGAAAGATGATGTGGTTTTAGCTCTTGAGCTCTTGTCAGAAACTATTGGTTATAAACATTATTTTTGGGAAGAGTTGTAGGCCACTTTATCTTTTGCTTCATACAAGATTCTTATTTATTTTAAATTTTAATCTAGGGTACTTTTGTTATATAAAAACTAGATCTCTATTTTTTCTATTTATGTTATTGTGGCTTCTACCTTTTTTTAATTAGGATTTGTAAAGAGCAGTTGACCACAATGGATCTTGTCATATTCACAGGCATAGCAATTGCTTTTCAAATTTAGGTAAAGTAAACTTAGATTTAACTAATAATATCGCGTAGTTATTCATAACTATTGTCATTTTACGTGTCTTTGTAATTGGTACTCCTTCAATATCAATTTTAATAGTTTTATTGACTTATGAAAGTATACCATTATTTATTAACCACAAGGAGAAAATCATTGTTTTTACAGTATTCTTGGCAATTATGTCATTCTTCTTTGATGGGCTGAGCTTCTCAATAATAAGCATTTAAGAAGACAATTAGGTAAATGTTTTCCTTTTTGTATGTTTTTATATCATTTTATATGAATACTTTCATTATGTAGTTTGCTTAAGGTTGCTAATATAGTAAACTTTAAAATGTGTAGTATTTAGCATGGCTCTTAATTATCCAATGAGATATTGTTGGAAAATATAAATATATTAAATACAATTTACTATTTTAAAAGAATATTTTGAGAGTAGAAAAATAATAGGCGAGTATCGGGATATAGTCTTCAATCTATATCATACTAAAACATTTCATAAGTATGTTGATTACAATATTATCAATATTTAGCACATCATTTTTTGAACCAACATGCATACTTATAACCAAAAATAAACATATAAAAGTGTATACACCAAATACTAGACTAAAGTTGATCTACTCCCAATATCGGGTATATAGATTTTTGTATATTTATTTTTGGAAGTAATAATATGCATGTTGGTCCAAAAACGGTGTGCTAAATATTGATAAAATATAATCAAAATAGTCATAAATTGTTTGGTACGATTTAGATTGATAAATATACATTGATAGTCGGTTATTATTTTTTCTCTCAAAATATTCTTTTAAAATATTAAATTGTATTTTATATATTCATTTAGTCCATGAACACAATCTCTTTAGATAAAGTAAAATCATTCTAATCACTACTCATTACAATCTTACTATATTAGCAACCTTAAGCAAGCATGATGAAAGTAATAATATAAAATAATATTAAAAACATCTAAAAAAATAAAAGAACATATTTTCTCATTGTCTCATTAAATGCTTATTATAGAAAAGCTCAGCCGACACAACTCAAGAAAATTGACATAATCACCAAAAATATTGAAAGCCAATGAGTTTTTCCATGTGGTTAACAAACAAAAAATAGTAAACTTTCACAAGTCAACAAAACAATCAAATTTGATAATAAAGAAGTACCAATTACTAAGGCACGTAAAATGACAATAATTATAAATAATGATACAATATTATTTAAATCTAAGCTTAATAAAATTCTAAAAGCAATTGCTATACCAAAATATGACATCTTTACATGCCCTAAATGAAGAAAACATAGAAGCCATAATAGCAAAAATAGTGATCTACTTTTTATATAACAAATGTACCCAAACTAAAATTTAATTCCCTATGCAACAAAAGATGAAATTGCCTATAATTCTTCCCAAAAATATTGACCAATAGTTTATGACAAAACCTTGTAAATGCATTCTCTTTCGTCTATAAATTCTCAAAGCACACACACACACATATATACATATATATATAACACATTACACATACACACACACACATATACATATGTGTGTGTGTGTGTGTGTGTGTGTATGAAATATTACAAATAAATATTATCAGAACTATTCGTAAGTTACACAACATAAAAGGTAAAAGTAGAGAAGTTTTAAGGTCACATCTACTGCTGTCAATTTTATATGCTCCTTGAGATATTGGGATTTGAGATCATTATGAATTTTATATTTGTAGCAAATAACTTTCCACAATGCCACAGTCATCATAGTATCAATGATAATTCTCTACCTCTCAAGAGTTGCATGATTTAAAAAGCTTAATAATGATAGCCTTAACAATTGCTTTATCACTGCCATTATTCCCAATTTTCATGTTAACATGATGGATGTTTTTTATATGCTTCTCCCCATTATATATTAAAAACATGATCTTTTATTAATAGATAAACAAAAAGTAATGTATCGATTATCACAAGCCTTAATAATTTAATAATTTTCTATTAAATTAATGAGGAAAACTACTAAAGGACGAGGGGTTAAATACTGCTTTCAGGTGGTCAACAAACAACTTATGTTATTTATTTTCAGGTAGCAAAAGGCAGCCATCATAACTAGACAAGTAGTGATTTCTAGTATATTTTCATTTTCGATATCTCAGAAATGGACACCAAGACAAACCATAGCCGCTATATCATCGGAATCACGAAAGAGGTCCCCTCTTAGTTTTTTAACATTAAGAAATCAAGTGGTAAATTGTGTTTATGAGATGAAACTCACGAAAGCAATGAATCAAGCTAAAATATAATATTCTACATTTGTGGTGTTTTTTCACAGGAAAATAAAGGATATGTGGGATTTAATTAAAAGTCTACATCTTGTGTTGAACTAATTATAACTTTGAGGCCATAAAAAAACTGGTATAATGAAATGGAAAATGCATCTGTGTAACAACAAATGGATAATCTACTTATAAAGTGGTAGAGTTATGGTAGAGTTTTCTTCTAGACCAATTATAAGTAGAAACACTTGAAACAACTATTGGCATCCCACATATATAATCCTCTTGAGAAAACTCCGGGATTCCATGTTTCTATAGTCCTTATCTATATCACTCTATGAGCTTATATTAATCAACCATATAGTATACTTCTATGGAAGTTGAGAGAAAATTTCATTTAATGTTATTGTCTATATAGACTCTCTAGGTAGGGATAAGGTTTGTGTACACTCACCCTCCTCTCAATCCCCCCACCTCGCCCAACTTTATTTTGTAAGATTTTACTCAATTTCATGTTATTTTGTATGCATAATCGTATCCAGGTAACAATTGGTCCAAACACATTTCAAAAGTTGACACTAACAAGTAAAAGGTATACCATTTCACTGTCTCGGCCTATAGCAACTGATATCCAAAAGCCGCATTCGTGTTGCTAAAACTCAAGACTCACCTAGTGAAATTGCAAGAAAAAAATCACAAAGGTTGCCAATCAAATTGAAGCTTAACCATGAATGAATCCAATTAATAAAGAAAATATAAAGACACTCAAATGAAAACGAATTTTGGGCCGAACTCAACCTCATCAAGAAGAATGCAGCCGGGGGCAAGACCCCCATGCACAAATTCCTTTGAAATGAAATAGCTTCAACAAGCTTCCAATTTTAGTAGCCAATTTCATTCAATGTTCCCACTCAAAGGCATCTGATGTATAGAAAATTAGTGCTTGATCATAAAAGGCAACTAGGGATTGAGAATGATACATTTTTATCTTCTCCACTATTTAACTATACCTGATGAGTTCCGTCATGCAGTATTTCGGTTCAATTCCATAATATATGGGGTAGCCAATCCCCATTCACGGTGGTACCCAACAAGTTTCACCACATTTGGATGTGAATTTTAGTCCCGGGTCTCTCGAAAGGACAAGTTCATCCTGGAGAGTAGTTCAGAACAAATCATACACTATAGAGAAGAGTTAAAGATATCAAATTTCCAAGTAGTAAGATGGAGGACATACATGGACTTTCCTGGTACTCATAATGTGTTGAATTCGCAGAGGAAGGGAGAAATCCAGCGAAACATAGAAACTCGAAAGCTAATAATAAGAGCTAGATATTACACGCGAAGGGACGAACAACTCCCCCTTCCACACGGACTTCGGCTCCTTCAGCATCCGCGCTTCGTCCATTTTATCATCGGAAACATGGATGCCTGGGGAATTGACTCAGTTCGCTTGGGCGACGACGTACTGGATCTCGATCTGGATCTGTGTGCCTTGGGTTTTACCATGTGCCACGATAAAAAAGAAGACAGGTAGACATAATATTCCACCGGCAAATTATATTATACATCCGGTTGTACCCAATTTAATTGGGTACAACCGGTAAGTAGAAAGAAGAAGAAGAGCTGCATCGATCGGAATCTGAGGAGAAAGGAGGTTTAATCGGGTCGGGTCAGGCCGAGAGAAGCTGCATCGATGGGAATCGGAGAGGTGCTCCTTGGCCGAGAGAAGCTGCTAATGGCTGCGTTGATCGGAATAGGAGAAAAGAGAGGTCTAATCTGATCGGAAAAGAGAGGTGCTCCTAGACCGAGGAAGATGCTGATCGGTGCTGATAAAAACCTAGTCCCGGCGCAGTAGATAAAGAAATTATTTAGGATATAAATTTTATTTTATACGAGAATGAATACTAATTTATTTGAAAATGAGTACCGTTTTGTTTCAGAATAAACACTACATTATTTGTAGTTGAATATTATAATTATATTGAACCAATGTGTGAAAATGAGGATTATTTTAAAATGAATACCACGTTAATTATATTTGTGCGAAAATTAGTACCATTATATTTCAGAATGATTACTGCCCCGGATGTACCCATCTCTAGGTACATCCGGTTGTACCATATAGGAACTCTATTCCACCTCTTTTAAGAACTTAAATTATTTGAACTCAATATTGGTCTCAATCCAAAATTAATTTATTTTTCTTCCCTTCAGCGCCATCTTCGTTAATTGGTTTGTGTCTCCATCTCCATCCAACCAAGCATCGTATTTCTTAGAGGACAGTCTTCATCGCCGCCGCCTTCATTCAGAGTCGTTATCTCCATCCGGCACCATTGATGGATTCGGCCCTTCAAATCCAACCCTAGACCGATTCAATCTCTTGCTTTATTTCTCTCAGGTTTCCTTCTATCAATTTTTTCATTGATTAAATGTCATTCTTGTGAGACGTACGAGTATTATGTTCTGAAATCTCGTTTTCTTGTTCCAAATATGTTTACTTCCCATTTTTAGTTTGATTTCCATCATTTGTATTCTTTTAAAGATTAGTCTAATTTTGGATATAAATAAAAAAACTAGATATAAAAAATAACAAAAATGAGAAAAATAACTGAAATCTTATATTTAATATTTTTATACATATTTTTTATATTTGATATTTTATACTTATTTTTTATAAGATAAGAATAATATTTAAAAAAGGAAAAAGAAATCTATGTAGAGAGTTTTTAAAAAACTTAAATAAATATTTAAATAAATAAAAGACAAAAACTCACTAAAAATAATCTCAACTTTCATTTTGTTTTACTCATTTAAAGATTAGTCTAACTTTGGATATAAATAAAAAAATAGATATAAAAATAACAAAAATGAGAAAAATAACTGAAATCTTATACGGAGTATTTAGTATTTTTATACTTATTTTTTATATTTGATATTTTATACTTATTTTTTATTTTTTATAAGATAAGAATAATATTTTTTAAGGAAAAATAAATTTATGTAGAAAGTTTTTTTAAAAACTTAAATAAATATTAAAATAAATAAAAAACAAAAATTCACTAAAAATAATATCGACTTTCATTTTGTTGTACTCTTTTAAAGATTAGTCTAACTTTGGATATAAATAAAAAAAATAGATATAAAAAATAACAAAAGTGAGAAAAATAACTAAAATCTTATATTTAGTATTTTTATACTTATTTTTTATATTTGATATTTTATACTTATTTTTTATATTTTATAAGATAAAAATAATATTTTTTAAGGAAAAAGAAATTTATGTAGAAAGTTTTTTAAAAACGTAAATAAATATTAAAATAAATAAAAAACAAAAATTCACTAAAAATAATCTCGACTTTCATTTTGTTGCAGAAAACAGGTCGTTCCGTTAACGTGTTGTTAACAAAATAATAATTCATGGTGTAACAATAAATAAATTTTGGATTGGAGCCAATATTGAATGAACAAGAATAATTTAAGTTCTTAAAAGAGGTGGAATATTATTTCCACATGTCTCTTTCTTATTGTGCCACATGGGGAGGGTTTTAAAACCCCCCACTTTGGAAGGGGCACCGAAAGATTGGCCCTGCCTGGGACAACGAAGTAGAATAGATGGAGAAACAAAGAGAGGTCAAATCGGAAATGAAGGTAAAAACATGGAATTTGACTTCCATTTTAAGAAGCCGTTTTCACGCAACTCTATCTAGTTTTACTTTCTTTCAATCTCTCTTTCCCGAAAGTCTAAGAACATTTACAACGATGACACTTCATCCTGCCCCAATTCCTCTCATGTCAGCATGACAACATTCTATCTATTTTTCTACTTCGTCTCAAAATTTTGTAATGATATCGCCTTAAAAAGTCGTCTCTCCATTTCTTTTATAATATTTATTAGTTTTAATTTAAAACTTATATAAATTTAATATAAAATATTTTTTACAAAAAAGAAGAATAATTTTAAAAAAATAAAAAAGGATTATAATAATTAGAAAATTAAACATAAGCGAAATCAACATTAAATTACAAAGTACTTCATAAATAAAGGAAGAACATTAACATGTTTAAAATTAAAATTAAAAAAAAAATAAAAACTTAAAAAACAACTGCTATTGAGTTGCCCTATTTATCATGACCTTGATCCTCGACATCATGTCGTGATGGTACTTCAATCCAACTTCGACATCCTCAACGTATCCATTGCTATGAGTTTGTCGAGGTTTGTGCAATGGAGAGCGAGGCTCAAGCTAGCTAGGTTTTTATTCATTATGTCTAAAGGAGGGTTTTCGGGTGAGGGTATCATGCTAGGAGCCATTGTCTTGGCCTTCCCCTTCCATTTCCTTGCTCCCTTTCACCCGATCTGGTGGCTTTGACTACTATGTGCCTCGCCCGATCCATGGGGGAAGTCATCCCCTGTGGCGTTGAGGTCGATGAAATGTTCGATCGAGTACGAACCAATCTCGGAGAGTTAAGAACGCTTCGGTCCAAATGCTCTGGCTTCAGCCCTAATGCTGAATTTGGGGCTCTTTTGAAGAAGTTTCTAGATTTCCTAGATTTTAAAACACGCTTCTCCGACTCATAATAAAGGTCCAATGCCTTCGACATAATGTCTTCGGTAGAGCAGCCACTAGGCTTGTCTTGAGTACGTTGGCATACAAGCCACTTAACTTCTAGACTTTCAGGTGCACAGGGCTCTAGTGTTTCCGAAGCATCTCCCCGTCACGTACAGGCGCACAATTGGGCCTCCCGGTATTGTACTTCTCTAAAACATGCTCCGAGAATATTTTTTTGTTTCTGGTAGTTGTTAATGATGGCGTCCTCCGAAACATCAACGTAGTACTTCGTCAATCTCAGACTTTCCGCCGAAGTGAACTTCTTTGGCTCATCCATCTTTTTGGCTTTCCCTTTGCTAACGCCCTCGGTGATGGGCTCCAACTCAAAACGTCGTAATTAGGGGTGGACACGGTACCTGTACGGTACCGTTACCGGCGTCGTTACCGCCGGTACCACCACTGGAGACGGACACGCAATGACAGTTCCGGGAACCAGTACTGATATCGTACCACACTAGACTGGTTCTAGTGCCAGTTTTTCGATACCGGCACTGGTTCGGGTACCGACCGTTTGATTTTTTTTCTTTTTCTTTTGCTTGCTTTGTCACTTTGTCAGACTTTTGCAGGGGGCTCCTCAACGGCATTATAGCTGTTTGAGGAGGGGAAGGGGGGTTGGGGGTTTTTCCTATATAAATAACCCTCCCATTTTTTTAAAAAAAATACCACACTCAATGTCAATTCTCAAATACTCAATTCTTATCTCTATTAATTTCTATTATCTCTCTTCAATCTTTATACATTCTATATTCATATAATAATATAAAATAATAAATATATATTAATATATTATATAATATATTAATATATACTCACATAATATTAAATTTTTAGTCATACATTCATATACTAGTAATTTAACCTGTGCAATGCACGTGTTGAACTAGTTTTATGTTGCTTTCCCTTGTGAAATAGCAACATAAAGTTGACCATGAGTACATACCGAGTTGGTTAAAAATAATCTAGCAAATGACAATGTTTGGCCTTGACTTTTGTTTATAGCCATAACAAAATATAAAACTATTGGGACTCTGGAACTCCAAAGGTAGTCTTGGATCAGATAGTACCAAATCTATTTTAGGTATGTAAACCTTTTTCCCGACTCAATTTTCCAAAACAACAATTGCACTAATAACGTTATTTCGTAGCTCTTTAACGACTAATCTTGTCTCATTACATAATCAAGATGTTTGGTTAATGTTCCTCAACAGTATAATCAGTACCCCTTATTCCAAGATTATTTTGTGGTCTGGGATTCTCGAACATTGGATTTCGTTCAAAAACTTAACGACGATCAATCACCATCAACACCTTTATATGCATCTGTTTGGCATGAGAGATCAGAACTCAAGTACTCTTTTTCATCACCGGGAATGGGCAAGACAAATTCATTTATCATTTCAACTATTGCGAGAGTTTGTGCTAATAGTGTCATATCCTCAAAAAAATTTATTTATATTCTCTAATATGTTCGGATAAGTGAAGTTCACGTTCTATTCTCTTGATAGAAGAACTTGTGCCAAAAATCAAGAACTCAGGAGAATCTCCACATCACATACTCCATCAATCACGTAACTTAGCTTTCCATCAATCAACTAACTTGACTTTGGTTATCTAATTAGAAAAAACTCGTTTGTCCGTATCTGTGCAAGAGGATGTAGATGAATATGGTCTCATATTTTGATC